GTTTTAAAAAGTACGTCAATTGATTGGTGGTGTCCATGTCCACACGTCTATTGTGGTAAGCTCACTCGTGATACAAGCATATTTAGCTTAGTACCTACGAGGGGCTAACGGGACTATTAGTAATTTGTGTAAAATCAAATTACTCAATACTTTGCAACGGGGCGTCTTAGCTAGCTCAGTCTGACACCCCGCTGTTTAGTACTAAGTCCCAGTTCGCCTTCTGCGATGAGGGATGTGTACCTATCCAGGATGCCTACAGGGATATTCGACCAAGGAAACGCACAATCAATAACACAATGGCACTTATAATTCAGGTTCCACAATGGTTTCCTTATTCTAACTTCACTGACTCTAAGTTTATTATTATTACGAGCAATTACTTAACAGGTTATATCACAATTACTAATTAATGGCAATGAAAAGAATAGCGACGCGCCCGATCGATATTGCTTCACCACATTAGCGTTTAGGTCTTACAATTTAAGCAGATCAATGTGGACCAAGTTAGAGCACAGCAACCTTTGGAAGGAGGCAGAATGATTTCAGTAGTTTAATTACTTTATTTTTTATCTTTATAAAAAAAAGTGAGTCACATTTTGACTTTACTATGACGTCATCAGGTTGCGAACCCAATTCCCTGTCAATGTATTAAAGATGGTAATTGTTTCCAGCCGTAGCTGCAGTTCAGAGCGCGGCCCTGTTGCCAGCCCGCCGCCACTACCTCCTCGGCCCGCGCCCGTGCCCGCGCCGCCGCGTCCGCCTGCACACGACCCGCTGGCTGCCGGTGAGCATTGTATACGTTTTCATTTATTTATTTATATTCATTGGATTTTAGACCTTATAACGTAATACTAGTAAACTAAATCCTTTATATTGTTCGGTGTTTAAACTCTTCAATTGAATTTTGTTTTCTCTAAAGTCTGTTCGCCGAGAATTGATAAAAAAAATTAAATATCAGAGGTTCTAAACTCATTATAAATTGCTAATTATTTTTGTCGATATAATGAAAAAGTTGGTAGATTATCATTATTATCTCTTTTAAATTTACGGGAATTATTCCGGTTAGGGCATACGTGGGGATACGGATCAAACATGTGGCGTCCATGTGTTGGATAAAAAGTATTTCATTATTATCAAGTGGCTTATAGTGTATCCCAATGTTGGGCAAAGCCCTACCCACTGTCATACCATTCATTTCGGTCTTATGTAAAATAAATCTATTCCGTTTCACACATTGCGGCCCGCCGGCCGGGGCGCTTGACGACAGCTGCGTGGCTCGTACCATGGTACTCAGTGCGCGTTGTGACAAACGACGCCCGCCATACAGAATGCGATAAATAAGCGACAGTCGCTATTGCAAGACATTTCATAATATTTATCAACTCTCGGCGAACAGACTTTAGTGTATAAGTACCCTAGCCTCACAAAAAGAAATGCTGTGTATTATACCTGTAATTGAGGTCATATACGCATCATGTGTTAAAACCATTTAAAATGTATGAACTTTATGTGACTGTTGGTGTACCTAATAAATAAATAATTTACATTGTGTACGTAAAATGACACTGCCAACTTTGAAATAAAAGGAGGAATTATTTTTCGGCGTGGTTGCAAGCTCAACGCGTATTTCTATTTTCTAACGCCTTTAGCGACAGCGCACACTGCGCGACTCAATTTCCACGTCAATTTCATACACAGTAATATATGAAATTGACAAGTCGCGGCGTCTCCTGTCGAGATTGTTGCCACTGTCGCTTACACATGTTTCCTAACCCTTCAAATTCTGTCTTTCAGGTCGCAAGAACGCCGACCGTTCAGTACGCTCGCGCGATCTTGGCGCGGAATCCGGTAGCTCACTAAGCTTAGAATCCTTCGGTTCTACGGACCGCGAGCTATTTGAGGAAACAGTACAGGCCGGGCTACCGGAGCGAGCGCGCCGCCCTGCGCAACCACGAGACGGGTCTCTGAGCTCGCTGAGCAATGACTCCTTTGGATCTACTGATAAGGAGGTGAGTACCTGCTGAGTAGCCATTATCAGGGCGCCAAGACTCCGATTCGATAGTTCGCTGAATCTACCTGACTAACGGAGTAAACATAGCTAGTAATTCAGAAAGGAGCTAGGACCTGCGTCTGTTTATAGACGCGGAGCTAAGCAAAGCCAAACCAGTAGCATATCCAACATGCAGCCTACGCGCCAGTATGCGATGTTCCTTCGCGTCACTTTCGTATTAAGCTTAGAATCCTTCGGCTCTACGGACCGCGAGTTATTTGAGGAAACAGTACAGGCTGGGCTACCGGAGCGCGCGCGCAATGACTCCTTTGGATCTACTGACAAGGAGGTGAGTAGCTATTATCAGGGAACAAAAAATCTGAACTGGCAGCTCGCTACCGCAGTGGGCAATGGTATAGCTAGTAATTCAGATAGGACCTGCGTCTGTTTATAGACGTAGAGCTAAGCGAAGCGGAGTTGCGGACTTTAATTTATATGAAGCTAGATCCTGAGTACGTGCGCGTCATATAATTTCCCCGCTCTGCTTCTCTTGAACACGTAGCCTCAGTCTAGTACATCGACTCCATGGAATGGTAACTGTTCGAGGAAACAGTACAGGCTGGACTACCGGAGCGAGCGCGCCGCCCTGCGCAACCACGAGACGGGTCTCTTAGCTCGCTGAGCAATGACTCCTTTGGGTCTACTGATAAAGAGGTGAGTAACTATCACGCATTTGGCGCAGTTGCGCAAGCTTGGCGCAGAAACTCGCAATAGGGTATTTGACACCACCAATCAATTGACGTACTTTTTAAAACTGTCAAAACGACACTCGCCCATAGATTTTGTACGGCAATACTAGCATGTGACGTCACAATTTTATCAACTCAATGAAAATACTTTTTTCAATTATAATGCAACCAAAAATCGTAATTTACAGGTAATTAAAAATTAATTAAGTTTTTAAGACCAGAAAGAAGTGTCTTTTTAAAGAAGTTGTGCTTTAGAATTATTGGGAAATGGTGTCAAATACCTAATTCGCTAAGGTGGTGTCCTAAGATAGCGACCTAAGGCTTCCTGACCGCGAGTCCATCCCTATGGAGTAATGCATATGCATAGATATAGGCATGGAGCTATGGTAGCATATTGGAGTGAAGTTGCGGTCTGTGTTTTCCATATGCGGATCGAAGACGCAGCACTCGTCTGTCATTCGATTTTCTCACTCTGCTCCACATAGCTTTTCCACTCCGCTACTTAGTTTTGTATAATTTTTTAAACCAGTTCGCAACTAAACTATTTGGATCAAATATGTAATTGCTCAATAATGAATAATAAATAAAAAAAAAAAACTGTTCACTGAGGAAAGAAAGGTAGAGATTTTTTCGCATATAGCACTCATGGCAAACGACAGTTAATTGATAAGCAACAAAACTTGAACAACTTTTCACCCTGTCAATGCATAATAGACGTTATATCACAAACGTTAAAGCACAATTTACTTGTCGTCAGGTGTTCGAACGCTGCGTACGCGCGGGCATGCGGCGCGGCCGGCCTCGCAGCGCCGAGCGCCGTCCGCCGCGCCCGCGTCTAGCGAGACACCGCGACCACGAGCGCGACAGGTATGTCAAAATCAAAGTCAAAATTTCTTTATTTGTTTAGACTAATAAATAGTTCTTACAAATCGTCATTTTGCTCTTAGGGAGCCTCTACATGTCTCATAATCTTTTTACCCTACCAGATGTGACACTAGTTTATGGGACTAGGCGCAGACCACCGATTTTTAGTTGGCCGATAGTTGGACCCGATTTTAATTTCTATGAAGAATAGGCCAAATCAAATCGGTGTAATGTGCGCACTTCCATACATGCCCATACTGATCAACTGCCTCAAGTCTGCCTGGAGTCAAGAAGTGTGGCGCGGTGGAGTGCAATCTGCCCTAGGCAGCCGCAATTCCGCGCACACCTCCCGCGATTCGGCCAGTATAACCGCAAGGTTGGTATGGCCATGGGTGTTGGTGGGTTGATCAACTGCCTGACTAAACTATCGGCCGACCAAAAATCGATGGTCTGCGCTTAGGCTAAGTCGAAGTGATACGGTGCAAAGTAATTTGAGAACCATACGTCATGTTTTGAACGCGACAGGTATGTATGAAGCTCACCACTTTATGCACTTTAAGTCGAAGCGATATGGTTCAAAGTTATTTGAAAGAAAGAAAGAAAGAAAATAATTTTATTTTGACAACAACAGATTCAGGGAACAAAGACATACATAAAAAAATTACTTAGTTGCCAAAAAAGGTCACCCACTCAGTAATATCTTGACAATCATACCGACGACCTAATAAAGGTAGCAGGAAGGTGCTGGATGCAGGCCGCTACCAACCGTGCGATGTGGAAGTCATTGGGGGAGGCCTATGTTCAGCAGTGGACGTCCTATGGCTGAAATGATGATGATGAAATTAAAAGCGAGCTAAAGATTATTCATTTGTTATTTTCATCTCCAGGCGAGCCTCAGCCGACCGGGCCCTCCTTCGCGACGTGATCGAGCGCGGCGCGGCGGCGGGCCCCGCGCGCCACGCCCCCGCGCGCCCCGCCCCCGGCCCCNGATGCGTGTGCATGATAATCCGCAATCTTAGTTTTTCAGACCGACTGGTCAATGGCACAAAAGTTATCGTCGTGAAAACTACGCCGCGCATAATAACCGTTCGCAAGCCAGGCGAAACAAACGAATTTTTGATTCCGCGTATCTTGTTTAAAGCTCCAATCGAACCGGACAGCCCCATCGAAATGACGCGACGGCAATTCCCCTTAGCTCTGTGTTATGCCATGACTGTTCATAAGAGTCAGGGGCAGACTATAAATCGGGTAGGCGTAGACTTGCGGTCGGACGTGTTCAGTCATGGCCAATTGTACGTAGCGTTAGGTCGGGTCCAAGAAAAATCGGCCTCCTCCCACAGGCGCACCTCGTGCTTGTGAGTCCGAGCGCTTGCCTTGGAGACGGAGCGTGTTCTCACCTGAACTCCAGGTTGTCCCGGGCGACTTCAAACTTGCTCTCGTAGTAGCGCTCCTTGAAGCCTCCTCCCACAGGCGCACCTCGTGCTTGTGGGCTCCGAGCGCTTGCCTTGGAGACGGAGCGTGTTCTCACCTGAACTCCAGGTTGTCCCGGGCGACTTCAAACTTGCTCTCGTAGTAGCGCTCCTTGAAGCCCTCCTCCCACAGGCGCACCTCGTCGTGCTTGTCGTCGTCGTCCGAGTCCATGCCTGCCTCCGCCGCCGAGCGCTTGCGTCCGCGCTTGTGGGAATCCTCTTGCTGAGAATTGCATTACACATAGAAAGATATTTAAGGATTTGCCTCACGTAGTCCAGTCATTATAGTAAGTTCACCTCGGAATTCCGTATAAAAATTTTTTTGAACAAAATTTGTAGAGAATTTAGTATTCTACAATATTGATAATAAATACAAATAGCAAAAAACCCATAGGAAATGAGATATTTCCAAAAAAAGCGCAAAAAACCGGTTTTTGTGACCTTTGACCTTAAAATTTAATAGTTGCTTACACCCTACCATATGTAGGTTTTGAGACAACTTTTAGGGTGTCAATATACAAGTATTTACAGACTTACAGCTGGGTATCTCGAATTCCGAGATTCTTACCTAATTTAAGCTTAAATGACTGGACTACACGATAGTCTGGTCTGCGAGCACGTAGAATTTTGTCCAATGACCCCAAGCTACCCATCCTTTTCCATTATGTTGCTGTCGCGCTCGCACACTCACTGCGGGCGCCCGTCGCATAGTCGCGACAGCAATATAATTACGCGCGAGCGATAAGGATGGGTAGCTTGGGGTCATTGGATAAAATTCTATGTGCTCACAAACCGGGCTTTAGATGCGATCTGCGGGCAGCAGGCAGGTTACACAGTCAGCATTATGTAAGAATAACATTGTTGGTCACGGGAACAGTCAGTCTGGGAAATACAATCAACCAGCGGTGCGGTTTACGTTCTTTGCTCGTGACCGCATGGTCAGATCGCATCCAGTGTGACAAAACCTTATAAAATGTAATGAACCTAGAATAACCTAGATAGAATATAATAGTTAATTTTTTACACATTATGTAAAGTCACAATTCAGATGACCACTTACAATCTGGGAGAGGATGTTGATTTAAATAACATGAGGACAGTAGTACAGGACAATAACATAATACAGACTAAAATAAAAATATATGCATATTTGTATAAAGAAAACTATGGCTCATCAAAATCTATGAAGCCAATCAGGCAAAAATAACAAACCTCTTTTTCGGCCTGCATGCCAGCGATGCGCATATTAGCGGCCTCCTGCCTCACGTTCGCCACCGACCTCTGCTGGCCGACAGCCTGCGAACAAGTCAATTATTTATAGCAAACTATCTCTTCCAGGGAGCTGCCGATACGTGCAGCAGTTTCAATGACTTCTCCAGCAATGAGGAGTTAACCAGTGAGAGTTAACCAACTTTTCATTGTACCTTATTCGCTTTATCTCTACTCTTGAGCTTGTTCTGATATAATTAGAAGAGTTAAATGTTATGTGATAATAGACATTATTTGAGCTGACAAAACTAACATAACAGTATCGGCATCAGACAGCTAATTTGAGAATCGAGGAACGCTAGTTCGACCACTGTAAAATACTGGACTAATTGTGGTGAACCCACTCCTGACACAGCTTCTAACTTTACTTGGAGGGCTTAAAAGGTATAGAAACTAACTACTAATAAGTTTTTAAAAATAATGAGCTTACAGCCGGCGCAAACTGCGTGTTCTCTCTCTGGTGTCATTTGAAACGAAAACTAGAAGACTAGCGTCTTATTGTTAGTAAACAGTAGGTAACTTACTGCCGGTGCAAACTGCGTGTTCTCCAGCAGAGAGAAGTTGACTTTCTGCTGGCGCCTCTTGTTGGCCTTGTCCCTCGCCTTGAAGTTGAGCTCGTTCTGTTTTCATTAGAAGACACGAGAAGACGTAATAGGTAGTGGAATGTCACTTACAGCAGGCGCAAACTGCGTGTTCTCCAGCAAAGAGAAGTTGACTTTCTGCTGGCGCCTCTTGTTAGCCTTGTCCCTCGCCTTGAAGTTGAGTTTGTTCTGATGTCATTTGAAAAGAAAACTAGAAGACTAGTGTCTCATTGCTAGTAAACAGTAGGTAACTTACTGCCGGTGCAAACTGCGTGTTCTCCAGCAGAGAGAAGTTGACTTTCTGCTGGCGCCTCTTGTTGGCCTTGTCCCTCACCTTGAAGTTGAGGTCTTTTTAATACCGCTAGCTAGAAGATTACCAGCACATAAACATGTCTAATTGTTTACTTACAGCAGGCGCAAACTGAGTGTTCTCCAGCAGAGAGAAGTTGACTTTATGCTGCCTCCTCTTATTATCCTTGTCCCTCGCCTTGAAGTTGAGTTCGTTCTGGTGTCATTTGAAACGAAAACTAGAAGACTAGCGTTTTATTGTTAGTAAACAGTAGGTAACTTACTGTCGGTGCAAACTGTGTGTTCTCCAGCAGAGAGAAGTTGACTTTCCGCTGCCTTCTCTTGTTGGCCTTGTCCCTCGCCTTGAAGTTGAGCTCGTTCTAGTGCAGCTAGAAGACTACCCACATACTAGTATTGTTTACTTACAGCAGGCGCAAACTGCGTGTTCTCCAGCAGAGAGAAGTTGACTTTCTGCTGCCTCCTCTTGTTAGCCTTGTCCCTCGCCTTGAAGTTGAGTTCGTTCTGATGGCGCCGCTTGAAGATCTCGTCCTCCACGTGGCCCAGCTCCGTCATGATCACCTGCACGCGGTCCAGGCGCACGTCGCCCGAGTCGGTGATCCATCCCTGGGAATACGCGGATTATTAATAACTGGGCTAGGATACGGGACTATTCTCACCTCTCGTTCCCACCGCTGCAACTCCTGTGTAGCCAGGGATACGCGGATTATTAATAACTTACCTAGGATACGGGACTATTTTTTAGTTTTTTTTTTATGCATAACAAGGCAGGTATTTGACCACAATCGCACCTGATGTTAAGTGGGATGCAGTCTAGGATGGTACATATCTGCCCTGTAAATGCTTATTCACTCTCGCCTTGAAGAGGCCCGGATTATAGTTTTCGGGAAAGACAGCAGCAGGCAACGAATTCCAGTCCCTAGCTGTTCGCATTATAAAAGAGTCATCGAAACGCTCTGCCACCTCTCGTTCCCACCGCTGCAACTCCTGTGTAGCCAGGGATACGCGGATTATTAATAACTTGGCTAGGATACGGGACTATGGACAACACGCATAAGTTGTAATATTAAGTTTAATTATGACTTAATTTAAAGTTTAGATCACACACATTACACTAGTTTTTATTTCACCTCAATCCATCCAGTATTACCGAAGATAGAGCCTCGAGAAGTTTAAGGACTTTTTAAAATTTTCAAAAATTTCCAATATTCGCGCGTGACGTCACAACATGATTTTGCAGACCCCGCACGTTAACCCATTTACCACTTTTTGTCTTTTTCCATCTAAAATAAAATTTTACCTAACTGTCAACTGTTGTTAGTTGTCATCGTTCAATCACATTTCAAACTAGGCGCTAAAAAGTAACCATTATTATGCNACTCGCTCAGCGGAAAATTATTAACCCACGTGGTTTGACGCAATGCTAATTATGGATACGTTACTAAATATAGATGTGAGTGTCGGTTTGTTTATCAACATTTCAATAATAACATATTTGGTAGAAATAACGATATGAATGATCATGTCCATGAAAGTTAAAACAATATTATTGTAATTTATTGTACGTATTTTTAATAAAGGGAAATCACTTGTTTATACGAGTACATGGAGCTAAGTAAACTAATAAATAAACGAAGTAATAATATGTTTATAATTCTAATAATAATATGCTCGTAAGCATCCTCTTCTATAAGGATCTTTAAATCAAAAATATTTTAAATAATTATTACTAGCGGCCGCCCGCGACTTCGTACGCGTCTCCCTTTGTACCAGAGTTACCCCATTAGGGGTGGAGTTTCTCAAAATCCTTTCTTAGCGGATGCCTACGTCATAACACATCCAAATTTCAGCCAGATCCATCCAGTGGTTTGGGCTGTACGTTGATAGATCACTATGTCAGTCAGTCACCTTTTAGATAAATACTCAAAATCAAAAATCAAAAATCAAAATCAAAAATCAAAATCAAAAATATTTATTCAGTTTAGACCACAAGTGGCACTTATGAACGTCAATAGAAAATAATAAAAAAAGAAAAGGTAGCCCTTATGGGGCACTTTACATGTCTCCTTATCTTTTGGGCCCTACCAGCGCTTCGAGACAAACATATGGCAAGTGCTGAGAAGAAACGCCGGAACAAACTCAGTCACCACTTATTGCCAGGAATTATCTAACGGTAAGAATAGTCAAATTTAAGTACATCAAATATATTCAAATGATCGATAATAAAGTATCGTAATTTTTTCCGTGGCCCAAATAGGTGTAGAGCCAGAATTTTCTAAATAACAGTCGGTGAGCGTAAGCGAGCAGAAGGACTCTGACCCGAATAGTCCCGCGTTGCGCAAGCGCACGTCTCGCGGCCGGCTGGGGCTAAGGCTAGGACTAGTAATGTTATAACGATTTCCTTTAACTGGCTGTAATATTGTTGTGTTTACAACAAATGTTGATTAACTTATTTCGATTCCTCTCAAAAAAAGGATTGTTAATTTACTCAGCAAATAATTGCCCAAATATTTCACGCTAAAACATCATAGGCTAAATTAAATACAAAATTATTTTTTTTTGCTTTAAATCTTTATCAACTACTAGCTGACCCGGCGAACTTTGTTCCGCCTTAATGGCAATAAATAAGCAGACTTTTTTATTTCGAACGGGATAAAAAGTATCCTATGTCCTTCTCCTGGCTCTAAACTACCTCCCTGACAATTTTCAGCTAAATCGGTTCAGCCGTTCTTGAGTTATAAGTGGTATAACTAACACGACTTTCTTTTATATATAGATTTTTGAAGTCGACATGGAAACAAATATCAATAAATAAAGAAAATAAGATTTGCCTTTGCGTGCCGAGTTGAGCATAATGCGTTGATGTCTTTTGTATGGGCGTTTCCTCCTCAAGAGTTGGAAGACGCTTAGTCATATTTAAACGTAATAGTTTCGATTTATTTTACTGTTAAATTCATGAAATGACCTATCGTTCATATTATTATGTTGTCTGTATTGTCAGAAATTACTTTATTATTGTTATTATTCTATAACTTTAACATATTGACTGGGTAATTTCAAAACTGTAAGCTAGGTAAGTAAGTCGACCGCTTCACTCGTCAAGTATTAAATTAAGTAATTATTATTGCACTAATTCCGCGTAATTTTAGATCACAGGTTAGACGCTAGTTGCCCAATCCATTGTCCAAGACGTTCACTGTTTCAAAACGCAGCGAAGGTGCATACAAGGAGATAGCCGCATAGTTTTCATAGTGATTGTTACATGCCCCGGTTTTACCTGGATGAGGCTATCACACTAATTTTATAAAGGAGAAAGTTTGTGAGTTTGTATGTTTGTTACTTCTTCACTTCATGAGTTAGCTGACTAACTAATCCAGGGATTAACACGGGTTACCTACACCATATCGAATTACAAATGATCGAAAATCAAAATATCGAACACGTTTTATCGAACGATCAAAATATCGAACGATCAAAATATCGAACGATCAAAATATCGAATGCTCAAAATATCGAACGTTCAGAATATCGAATTTACAAATGATCGAACGATCAAAATATCGAATGATTAAAATATCGAAAAATCAATATAGAGGTTTTAATTAAATGTCATACGATTAATGTAAATAAAACAGAAATTCTTAAACACATTTTTTTTATTTCTCACTTTTGGGTACCATAGTGTCCATAGTCAACAAGGAACCCTTACCTCCATCTTTCTACTATACTATGCAACGTAAGATTTTACTGCGGGTAACACCGTTTGGCACAGCTAGTGCTAGATAAAGGCCCGGTTTCTGAATTGAGACTTTCAGCTTGAGCGTGCTCATTCTTTACTTAACAACTATGAATTTTGAAAATTTCAAACTTGAGTAGAAACTGAGCATGCTCAAACTATAAATATCAATTCAGAATCCGGGACAAACACGAATATTAATCTCTTGTAAGAAATTGGGGTTAGCGTTAGACAGATGCCATTCAAAAGGCCGTGAATTTTAAGATAAGACGAAGAGCAGCAGTGCGTGACGGTTCTAATAACGTTAACTGATCGTTAATAAGATGGTATCTTGATGGGCCTTTTAAATTAACTAAATTAAGTTATCACGCTCGTTATAAGTATTTTATAACGTTAATAATTTAGACATTTGTAAGTTACGAAGTTGCTTCAATGGTAATGATGTCCTATCATTTAGTATCACTGAGCTGATGCAAAAATAAATTTCATCAAACAAGAAAAGGGCCTCAGTTACTGAAATGGAAAGTTTAACTTGAGAAACACAATATTATATTGTAACTGTCATTTTTCTTGTAAATATTTTAATTGCGGATATACAAGCCGTGGCAGCCTTTAATTAAGACAACACTTAGTTCTAAGCAGTTTTAGTTATAGTAATTCCATATGTACGAGTATGCCGTGTTTGTCTTGTTGGTTGTCCTAATAAATAAAATAAAATCTATATAAATAAAAATGAATTGATGTTCGTTAGTCTGAATAAAACTCGAGAACGGCTGGGCCGGTTGAGCTGATTTTGGTTTTAAAATGTTTGTCGTGGTCCAGGGTAGGTCTAAAAGCAAATACTAATATAATATTGTTTTTTTGTGACAGACAAAATACAACGCGGGCGATAGATAAAAAATAAAATGAAGTCTGTCACAACAAAAGGGTTTAAAGGAATCGAGTAGAAAATAAACTTTGCAGTTACGTCAACTTATTTGGTATAACCACGTGACCCGACACGTGCGGTCTATGAAACCCGAGGTTTTATTGATTTAGCTTGCATAACAGCGACCGCATCTCGTGAGGAAAGGCTTTGGAGAAGCGAGAAACTGGTTACCTACTGTACAACAGCTTGTCCGGCTATCACTAAGTATATCTATTACTAGCTTTTGCCCGCGGCTTCACCCGCGTGAAATCAGTCAATTTGTCACAGACCGTCATAAATTATAGCCTATAATGTTATTCTGGGTTATAAATAATAATACTGTAAAGTTTCATCAAAATCCGTTCAGAAGTTTTGCGTGAAAAAGTAACAAACATGTCAAAATCTAGATCCATACAAACTTTCGCATTAATAATAGTATAGACTAAGAGCTGGCGAACGCCAGACCTGCTACGTCATTTTATAAAAGCTGAAAGTTTGTCAGCGTATGCTCCCAATACATATAGGATATAATTTTGGTGAATTATGAAGTTTGGGTCATGGTGGCTTTGGGAGCTACCCTATAAAAACTGTCTGGCAAGGAGTTGGAACAAGGAAAACTGTCTGGCTGTTGGGGAAAATACTTCTAATTATTGCCCATCAAATATGAGCAGACTGAACTGACCACGCATCCTTGTCAATATAGTCATCAATATAGTCTATAATATCAGATGCGGACTGCCAGCCCACTTACACTGAACACTCCGCAATATCAAAATCTATTAATACTTGTAGACATACCTTATAGTTAAGAAGCTTATTGCTAAAGGCTGCATAGCATAAAATGAGCTATGAATGGAATCTAGGATAAAAGCGACCAAGGCCTTAAACTGTTGATGGATGACGATCCTTCTTGCAACCATTAGTCATTTGTATACCATTAGGCATCTTTAGTAACGCTTGTTACAAACGTGTTGCACTGGACATAGAACATTTATCATTAATCCTGCAACGAATGTCGCGGACGTTATGTTTGAAAGCTTTAGGAGCTTTGAAATATACTCGTATTTCTTTGTGTTGTATGCAAATTAAGTACATTACCTACCTTAAAAGTTTGCAAGTCGTAACAGCTTTTTATACTAGCTGTGCTTTGTGAAAGGTCATTATTAATTTAGAAACATCTGTCAACTTTGGTCCCTTTTCTTATGTTTTCTAGTCAATGATGTTCTTGTATGTTTTTGGGGACTGCATGGCACTCCATCCATACCATAGACACTATAATAGTTTTATAATTTTAATGTTTAGTTAATTTAATTTTAGTTTGACAAATAATTATCTATTTTAATGTTATTTTAAGTTTTTGCAACGCCTTCACTGGGCGTCACATGTACAATATTATGTTCATGTCAACCCTTACCCATGTGACATGCAATCAATAATTTGAATTTGAATACCACTCCAAGTCCAAACTAATTGAACTTAATTGAAGTTTGTTTATAAGTGTAATATGCGGTATCTCTCAAAAGAGTTCGTATTAAGTTTCTCCTTTCCGTGTCGTCCTTTATTACATAGTCCTGTCCCCCACGTTCATCTTACGAAGTACGTAAGACTTACGTATTTCTTCGTAATGTAGCTCTTTGTATAGCATTGCATCATCTACCAAATACAGTGATATAACAGCTATGTTTTCCCAAGGTATGAGCTGGGCGCTGTCGTGGTCTTTACGCGGGAGCTGGCGGGCACTGTGCGCAGCGCCGCCGTCAACCGGCGTGGACCTGCAAGCGCTGGACGGTCTGAGAGTCCTCGGGTTGCTCTGCTTCGTCATCGAGCACGTGTGCTGGCTGAATACGCTGACCTACATCGTAAATACGCGGCACGTGGAGAAGGTGAGGCGAGCTTGTATCTTGAAAGCGCCGTATGGCTAGTCGATGCTGCTGTCCACAAAGCGTGGAGCTACCGTCAGCAAGGGTGGACTTGCAAGCGCTTGATGGGCTGCGCGTGCTCGGGCTGCTGTGCTTCGTCATCAAGCACGTGTGCTGGCTGAATACGCTGACCTACATCGTCAACACGCACCACGTGAAGCAGGTGAGGCGAGCTTACCCTTTATTTTCTTTTAAAAACACTTTTCTTATCCCCGTCATGTTTAGACTCCTCTTCCGTCCATAAAACTGTCAACTGGCGTCGATTTAGTTGCTATGGTCGGGTTAGAAACGTCGTGCCTGCATAGCTTGGTAATTAAGCACTTTGTGTAACAGGCACACGTCTACATGCAGGGATAACAGGCATATCACTGCGTATAATATGTCTCGAGAAATGTGCAGGTCCACAACAATATTCCAGGCCACCAGAAGCGAGGTTTACTGCAGGTTTTCTTTGAGAGCTACCATAGGTAACTGTATCTACCCAATAGTCTGGTACGCGAACCCCAAAATTGAATGATCGTAGTGTATTTATAACGCCCATCTCAATTTTATTGTTTCCAGATGCGTTCGGAAACAGACGTGATGCTGGTGTCGAACAGCACGCTGATGGTGCAGGCGTTCTTCCTGATGTCGGCCTTCCTGCTGGCCAACAAGCTGCTGCAGCAGCGCCGCCGCCAGCAGCGCCTGGCCGTCTGCTCCACCATCCTCGACACCATGCTCAACAGGATCGTCAGGTCAGTAGCACCATTAGGGAGAAATGTAGCGCGATATTTAACGAAAATTGCAATGTCCTTGCAGGGCATATTATGTTTACCTTACATATTTTATAAGACCTTACTGTACATACATACATATGTGATGCAATAAATAAATGAATATGAATATTGAGAATCATCATCTTCTATCGCGACCCATCTTTTCGTCACGATATTCGTCTACTTAATGTTCGTGTTAAGGTTCGGCAAAACCAACGCGATCAGCCGGCGTGCAGCGATGACGATCAATGCTAAATGCAGTCTGATATCTGATGAGTCTTTACAAAGTTCCGCAAGTATAATGTGTTCAAATTCTTGATTGGTATGTAGATCCTTTTCAGGGCAATTTTATACGCCCCAGACTAACTAACCCTACCACCACTTCAGAACAACACAATGGGCTGGTGGTGTGTTATAGTCACTTCAGTCGACAGTGTAAGAGTGTGACATTGTTCTAGCGTCCATAATAGTCCGTAATTGCGTTTGATTGCAGGATGAGCCCGACGTACTTCATGGTGGTGTGGTTCGCGTCGAGCTGGTGGGTGCGCGGCGGCGCCGGCCCGCTGTGGGCGCCGCTGGTGGCAGGCGAGGCCGCCGTGTGCCGCCGCAAGTGGTGGACGCACCTGCTGTACCTCAACAACCTGCTGCTGGCCGACGACAAGTGCCTCATCCAGACGTGGTGAGTCTTCATAGCGGCGTGGTCGCGGCCCGCTTGGGCGCCGCTGGTGGCCGGCGAGGCCGCCGTGTGCCGCCGCAAGTGGTGGACGCACCTGCTGTACCTCAACAACCTGCTGCTGGCCGACGACAAGTGCCTCATACAGACGTGGTGAGCCATTATCATTAGCTCATAATTATAGTCTCTATTGCAGGAAGGAATGGTGACATTCACCAATTCACCAGAGACAAATAGAAAATTTAGAATACACTCCCTACGCTGGCCAGATCTTCATATTCTTCATTTCTTCTGGGAAACGGTGCAGATGCGATTTATGATGAAAACCTCTTTCCATCTCTTTCTCCTCTTTCCGTCTGGATGAGATTGACATCGATGAGGGATCGATGTTAGTCGGAAGTACGAGGAGGACTCAGATAATTTTGTGAACATTGTATGATCAATTGTAATGTGACACTGTAACTCCCGGATATTACAAAACACCACCGATTTATCACTAACAGCAGCTAAAGAAAAGTCCCAATCCCGATCTTTTCTAATCCATTGGTTCTTTGTACAATATGCCTACTGTAAGCCATGTCACCTTCCTCGGCAGGTACCTGGCCGCAGACATGCAGCTGTACCTATGCGCGCTGCTGCTGACGCTAGCGCTGTGGCGGCTGCGGCGCGCGGCGCTGCTGGTGCTGGGCGCCTTGCTGGTGGCGGTGGTACTGGCTGCGGGCGCCGCCGCCTACGCCTGGCATCTCGTGCCCACCTTCGTGCTGCACAGGCCTGAGTGAGTTCCATCCACCAATATTGCTTGATGCCAGACAGTGTCCTCCTGATAGTTGAATATCACCACCAATCGTCAATATGAATTTTTTTTTAGTTTTGGTCTCACGGAAGATTGACCTCGTGGCCAAATCTTAGGACACAAGGAACCTAATTCCTCGTAATCTAAGTATTTGACGAGTTGTCCATTCATCGTCTGCGATAGCTTTCTTAGCGTTTTGAATGAGATACATCAGTAGCCCGGTGAAAGATCGTCACGGATATTTTCATGAGCATTTTTTTCATGTTGCAGGGCCGTACGCGCTCTCTACAGCGGGGACTTGTCCTTCAACCTGCTCTACCAGTCGCCGCTGGGCAACGCGCCCGGCGCGCTGGTGGGGCTGCTGCTGGCGCACCTGCACCACGCGCTGCTGGACGCCAACGTGCGCCTCAGTGACTACAGGGTACGGCAGTATGTCTTAGTCTGTGCGCGCTCGCTACAGCGGGGACCTGCCTTCAACCTGCTGCACCAGTCGCCGCGGTAACGTGCGACTACAGGGTACGGCAGTATGGCTTGCTCGGTGCGCGCTCGCTACAGCGGGGACCTGCCTTCAACCTGCTGCACCAGTCGCCGCGGTAACGTGCGGCTGAGCGACTACAGGGTACGGCAGTATGGCTTGCTCGGTGCGCGCTCGCTACAGCGGGGACCTGCCTTCAATCTGCTGCACCAGTCGCCGCGGCAGCGTGCGACTACAGGGTACGGCAGTATGTCTTGCTCGGTGCCGTCTCGCTACAGCGGGGACCTGCCTTCAACCTGCTGCACCAGTCGCCGCTGTCGCAATATACAGAGGATGGAAGCGATTTTGGAGTGCAGCAAGTGCGGATCCACTACAGAGGGCACGGTGGGCAATGGGCATGCCGTAAACCTTATCATATCGGCCATAGGACGTCCACTGCTGAACATCGGCCTCCTTCAATGATTTCTATAATGATCGGTGGGTAGCGGCCTGTATCGAGTGCCTTCCTGCTGCCTATGAAGTCGCTACGCTGCGCTTGCCGGTACGTGGCCTCCACTCCAGAAACTTGCTGCTCCATCGGCGGTCAGTTCTGCGTATTATGCGCCCAGCCCATTGCCACTTCAGTTTCATATTAGACTTATGACATGGTCTATTGGGATTGTCAAGCTGATGTATGTTCACCGCTTGGTGTATGTCTATATGCAACTATAACGTCACGCTCTGGTCTATTGGGATTGTCAAGCTGATGTATGTCCACCGCTTGGTGTATGTCTATATGCAACTATAACGTCACGCTCTGGTCTATTGGGATTGTCAAGCTGATGTATGTCCACCGCTTGGTGTATGTCTATTATATGCAACTATAACGTCACGCTCTCAACGCGTCATGTCTCAACTAATCAATTTGTCCCCGAGCACGCAGGAGGACTTAATGAATGCTGCAGACAACGCCACTCTTTTGTGGCGGAGTTTTGGGCTGACACTGTATAGGTTTTGTTGTCGACCCGATAAGAAGAAGAATTTGTCCCCTGTGCAGTGGTTCCGCTGGGCGGCGTGGTGGGCGCCGTGGCTGGCGCTGTGGTGGGTGGCGCTGTCGCCCAAGCTGCTGGGCGCCGGGCCGCCCGCGCGCGCCGCCGCCGCCGCGTTAGCTGCGGGCGAGCGCGCCGTCTTTGCGATCTTCGTGGCCACCGCGCTTTTGGGCGCCATGCATGGTGTCAAATGTAAGTCCCGACCATGGTAGATATACTGCCCATTTTCAACCGACTTCAAAAAAAGGAGGAGGTTCTCAATTCGACCCGTATGTTTTTTTTTTTTTTCTATGTTTGTTACGCGATAACTCCGCCAATTATGAACCNTAATAACCGATTAAAAACCGAAAACCGGTTTTTTTTCTTGGAAACCGAAAAAAAAATCGGTTTTCGATAAACTTTCGGTTTTGCATACCCTAGTCACGCTCTCAATGCGTCATGTCTCAACGAATCAATGTGTCCCCGAGCACGCAGGAGGACTTAATGAATGCTGCTGACAACGCCACTCTTTTGTAGCGGAGTTTTGGGCTGACACTGTATAGGTTTTGTTGTCGACACGATAAGAAGAAGAATTTGTCCCCTGTGCAGTGGTTCCGCTGGGCGGCGTGGTGGGCGCCGTGGCTGGCGCTGTGGTGGGTGGCACTGTCGCCCAAGCTGCTGGGCGCCGGGCCGCCCGCGCGCGCCGCCGCCGCCGCGTTAGCTGCGGGCGAGCGAGCCGTCTTTGCTATCTTCGTGGCTACTGCGCTCTTGGGCGCCATGCATGGTGTCAAATGTAAGTCACGACCACGAGCATCTGCTCTATAGATATCTTTCTACCTTTTCTGCTTGATCCATTGTCTAATATTAGAAGCGTATATCGCGCGCTGGGACAAGATAATACCATGTTCAACGCATTTACGGATGGTGAAATCAACAAAACCGAGGCAGTGAAGCACCTTAATTTGTCTATTTTAAAAATTTCAAGACACGACGAAGTTGATCGCTGTTGATGATATTATTACATCGCATTGTAGTCCAGTGTGCAAACCATAGTACCTTCCGATCATCGAGGTTTTTAATACTTTTCATGTCGAGTTATAAGCAGTCATGAGACCGATAACAAACTGTTTTGCCTTTTCTGTCTAAAGCTCCGGTGCGCACGGTGCTGTCGTGGCGCGGCTGGGCGGTGCTGGCGCGGCTGTCGTTCGGCGCGCTGCTGCTGCACATGATCATCAACAAGTCGCTGCTGGCCGCGCAACTGGCGCCCACGCACCTCGACCGCACCACCGCGGTGAGTGCACCCACCGGCCTGGGGTATACAGAGGGATGCAGTCCTGTTGTGTTGTCCCCGCTGGGGGAGCCAACAGGATTTCGAAATCCTTCTTAAATGTTTTAAAAATAAATGGCTTTTAAATAATGTTTGCCAGGGGGGACAACAGTCCCCAAATCATTGAATAAAAATCCAGTCCCTAGCCAGGGGGGACAACAGGACTGCACCTTATAGGGGGTGGACAAAATGTCTCCTAACCGTGAGAGGTAGCGTTCAATCTGTGCCGCTGAAATGTTGCTGTCGTTCTTATCTTGCTCCGCGAGAGTGCATACATCTAATACGCGCTTACGCACCTCGACTGCACCACCGTGGTGAGTGCACCCACCGGCCCAGGGTATACAGGGGACGAAATGTCCCCTAACCGTGAGGAGTATTGCTCAATCTATGTTCCGTTGAAACGTTGCTCTTCTTCGTCGCTACACTCTTGCCTGAGTGGTCGTGGTCGTCACACCCGCTCCGGTGGCAAGCCTCACAATTCGTCGCCATTCCTCCTACACTGCAGCCTTTCTTGTGCACTTGTGGAGTGGACCATTGAGTGCGGTTTTGACCTGGTCAGTCCAGCGCATGGGAGGCCTGCCGCGCGCTCTTGTGCCCTCTACCTTCTCCTGCACAACAAGTCGTTCAACAGAAACGTTGCTCACTTGTTCTCATCTTGCCACGCGAGAGAGCATTATCCAATACGCGCCCACACACCTCGACCGCACCACCGTGGTGGTGAGTGCATCCATCGGCCCAGGGTACACAGGGGACCAAATGTCCCCCAACCGTGAGGGAGGAGTAGCGCTCAATTTATGTGCCGCTGAAATGTTGCTCAGTTGTTCTCATCTTGCCACGTGAGAGAGCATACACCTAGTATGCGCCCATGCACCTCGACCGCACCACTCCGTGGTGAGTGCACCCACCTCGGTCGAATATGCAAGGAGCAAAATGTCTAACAACCGTGAGCTGTAACGCTCAATATATGTGACGCTCAAACGTTGGTCAGTTGCTCTCATCTTGCCACGCAAGACGCGAGCGAGCATACGTCTAATATTGTTTTTCGGTCATTTCAAGTTAGCGCCAAGGTCAATTCCTGAAAGCACACAATCCTTTTGTGCCAGATGAAACCAAAGTAGGCTCTGTAGATTCAAACAAGAAAGGCAGCGGAAAAGCGAACAATTTATTCAGCGGTCCATTCCACATATCCCAGAGAAGACCGTCCCTAACCAGCCCTTCTTAAATAGTGTAGTCAGAGTCCATGTTCATTCACCCTGTAGAACCGAAATGAACAGAAATATCTCCGCTAGCACGAGACAGTTTGCCGTCCAGCACTAGCTGTATGAATTTTTTTGTAACTTGGCAACTGATTGCAGATACTGCAATGGTTCATCTCTGCTGTAGATGAAGTATTGTAACTTTTCAACTCTGATGGCAGATCCTGCAATGGTTCGGCGTGGCCGCAGCGTCTTACATGGCGGCACTGCCCCTGGCGCTGCTGGTGGAGATCCCTGTGCAGCGCCTGTACAAGGAGCTCCGCGCTCCCCGCACCCCGCCAGAACCCGAGCGCGTGCCCAAGCCGGAGAAGACCAGAGTCGCGAGCTGAACACGCCCTAGCCTACTGAACTTGATTGGTGATATTATAGCTCAAACTAAAGTTAGTGTATGAGCGGAAAAATGGGGGGTTAGCTATAAATTATGTAAGGCCTCAGCCTCGAACTTAGCGGGCAGCGGGGCGGGAGCGGCGGCGGCGCGGGAGCGGCAGGATCTTATGCGTAAAATCAAATAGACTGGTTCTCGAAAACAGCGGCGCGGCAGCGGGCAACGAGCGGGCAGCGGCGAGGGAGCGGGCAACGAGCGGGCAGAGCGCACTCCTTCTTTTGCCCACAATAAATCGAGCGATAGGAATAAATTTGAATCGAAATAAAATTGTCGCCGTTGTTCAGACATTTCGTTTGCGAATAAAAACAAATATCTCGACAACACAACCCAGAACACAAACTTCGCCGCTAAAGCGCCGCGCGAGCTGCCCGCTTGTTTCGAGAACGGGTCTGCGTTGCCCGCCCCGCTCCAGCGCCGCCGCCGCTCCCGCCCCGCTGCCCGCTAAGCTCGAGGCTGAGGCCTAATGTACGAAGCGCGCCTCCGGGTTAGGTGGCTTCGAACTTCGTAGCGCTGGCTTAAAAGGTATATCTAAATAAGTAGGTATGCGTTATTTGAATCTCTCTTTAAAATTTTAAAGACTTGCTAGGAATGCTAAAATCCTGAGCACCCAATGGCAGTAACTTGTGGTGTTACAGGCAGTATATGTACTTGTAGATACTTTAACTTACGTATTTTATTTTATATCTAAATAGTCTTTGCTTTAATAATTTAGGTGAAGGATGGTGATAGTAGTGTCATTGAATGTTGTTGAAGAATTTCCTAATGTATATTACATACATACATTGATATGAAATTACTTTTTAAACTTGGCCTAAGTATGTTTCTCCTAAATAATTTATTACAAGTTTACTTATCTTTTCAAAATTCTTATAATGACAGATTGACAAAACCATAATTTGATTTTGTAACATTTAGCTGAAACTAAATGTTGTGCAAAATTATAGACTAGTATTATATTATCTGTGCTGAAACGAAGTAGAAGTTACAGGCAGTCTAACTTGAAATATTACAATTTTGAAATATCAATGTTTAAGAAAACTGTTTTTAGATTTTGGTAATCAATGACTACCTACTACGATGCAGAATCTAATTAATTTTTAATTTAGAGTTTCTGGGTTTGTTTCCCAGTTACATTAGTTTTAAGATTCGACAGTTACAAAATAGGTGAATTACTATAGTTTGTAGATTTAAAATCGTTGATTGAGATAAAGCTTTAAAATCACAAGTGTAAAAAGAGTTTCGTAAGAAAAATAAACATTGGTTGTTATGTATTAGTGTATAGACTGTGTTGTAAATAGATAAAATCCTTGCCACTATTCTGTGTAAAATAACAACTAAGTTAGGTATATCGCACATGAAAAGAGAAATTTTGAGCAAGATATTAATCAAACGGATATTTAACCCAATAGATGTAGAACTGTACTAAACTAGGTTATTAAATACATAGCAACTATGTATTGTGATGTGATAGTTTACTTACAAGTATAGCGGTGTAAGGCATTGGGATTGTGTGCCGGATTGAAATACATTTTATAAAAAAATTATTTGTGTTTCATTATGTTACTTGAGTACCTAAGTTATAGTAACAAACTTCAGTTACAGTTACTGCAGTAATTTCTGTACGAGTTCTTTTTATTATAGTCGAGTAGGAATGTAAAAATGGAATGCAAATTAATTCTGACTGACATACAACTAAATGAGTAAAATGACTTACCCATATGATCTTGTATCTTCTCTCTAATGGTAGAGGTGCACGCACTTCCAATCTCTTTCCACAAACGCTTGCCCTTCGTCTCACACCGTCCTCCTGCCATAGGAAGTAAGCTATATTTTACAGGATTAAGTAACTGTGATAGTTAAACCTGAATACTTGGGATTTTTGGGGAGATTAGTAATCTAATGCAGGGGTCTCCAAACTTTTGAAGTCTTGGGGCCATAATAATTTTTTCGGTATATTGCAAGGGCCATAACAATTTTAATTTTTCTGTCCACCTATGAAAACACAGGCAAGTCTTAAGCTGTCGCGGGCCGGATTGATGGCAGTGGCGGGCCGGATATGGCCCGCGGGCCATAGTTTGGAGACCCCTGATCTAATGCATTAGCAAATAAAATCCAATAATGGTCTTCACCTGACTTTTATTTAGTCTGCACACACATTCATTATCACAAGATCCTTAGTTTAATGCTAGTGAATAGTTAAAACTGTACACATTAGAGACACAGTCAGTTTTGTCTATGCATTCAAATACAAACTAAACCTATTCCACAACAACACCCTTGCACACACACTAGTAATAATACGAATTTTATTGTACATTATCCCTCATTATCTGACTTCATTTGATACCCTCTGACAATGATAACTTATATTATAACAGTACAAAAACTATGCTCGGGCTTGAAGGTAGAATAAAATAAATGTTTCATTTCCTTAAACGTTGGATACAGAAGAGTTTTGGCCGTATGCATGTTTGAATACATGGTAAGGTAGTTATTGAGTGGGAGGATACTTAAAGCTATGGACGGCCGCGGGCTAGCGCCGCGAGGGGCCCGAGCCGCCCTGCCAGCCGCCGCGGTGCCCGCCGCCGCGTCCGCCCGCGCGGCCTCGGCCTGCCGCTGAAACAAATACAAATTCAAGTAAGTTTTGATCTAGTACGGATTATTTGGTGGTGACTTAATGCTGGAGCATGAATACTAAGGAATAGGAAAACATGTAGCCTCAGACTATTCCCAGTGCTCACTGTTTATCAACCATTTAGGATACATAAAACACTATTATGCAGAGGGTAGGCGAAGTGAGTCTCTCAGTGTAATTATTCTTTGATAAAAAACTACAACAAATCACTTTTATTTCAAGAGGTTCGAGTCCTAAATAACACAAAAGTTTGAACACAATCACTTTGTTAGTGGTTTGGGGTTAGATGTTTTGTTTTGTAAACACACAAATACAAATAACTGATGATAAATGAAGANCAACCCTACATTAATGCACGTCAAAACAAAATATTTACTTTAGGGCTGCGCTTAGTAGTTTTTTTTTAAATCGAAATTAAATGATGCGATTTGGGTATTTTGGTGAAATTACTAAAAAAATTAATTTAAAAGTAGCCGCCTGGCATGGAACGTGTTATGTGGGCTGAAAATATAGGAAATGACCCATTCTATCCGCCAAATCATTTTGGCACACGATGCGCCAAACACCCTGTATATTATTTGTGATTGTTACTTGTTGTGTATGCCTAATCCCAACTAATATTATAATAAATGCGAAAGTAACTCTGTCTGTCTGTCTGTTACGCTTTCCCGCTTAAACCTCGCAACCGATTTTGATGAAATTTGGCATAGAGATAGTTTGAGTCCCGGGAAAGAACATAGGATAGTTTTTATCCCGGTTTTTGAAACAGGGACGCGCGCGATAAAGTTTTTCTGTGACAGACAAAATTCCACGCGGGCGAAGCCGCGGGCGGAAAGCTAGTAATAAATAAATACTAAAAGCCTGATCACCCACTGGCAGTAACTTGTGGTGTTACAGGCAGTAGATACTTTAACTTACGTATTTTATATCTAAATAGTCTTTGCTTTAATAATTTAGGTGAAGGATGGTGATAGTAGTGTCATTGAATGTTGTTGAAGAATTTCCTAATGTATATTACATACATTGATATGAAATTACTTTTAAAACTTGGCCTAAGTATGTTTCTCCTAAATAATTTATTACAAGTTTACTTATCTTTTCAAAATTCTTATAATGACAGATTGACAAAACCATAATTTGATTTTGTAACATTTAGCTGAAACTAAATGTTGTGCAAAATTCTAGTCTGAAACGAAGTAGAAATTGCAGGCAGTTCATCTTGAAATATTACAATTTTGAAATATCAATGTTTACGAAAACTGTTTTTAGATTTTGGTTAATCAATGACTACTACAGTGATGCAGAATGTAATTAATTTTTAATTTAGAGTTTCTGGGTTTATTTCCCAAGTTACATTAGTTAAAATTCGACAGTTACAAAATAGGTGAATAGTTTGTAGATATAAAATTATTGATTGAGATAAAGCTTTAAAATCACAAGTGTAAAAAGAGTTTCGTAAGAAAAATAAACATTGGTTGTTATGTATTAGAGTATAAGACTGTGTTGTAAATAGATAAAATCCTTGCCACTATTCTGTGTAAAATAACAACTAAGTTAGGTATATCGCACATGAAAAGAGAAATTTTGAGCAAGATTTTAATCAAACGGATATTTAACCCAGTAGCTTAACTATGTTATTAAATACATAGCAACTATGTATTGTGATGTGATAGTTTACTTACAAGTATAGCGGTGTAAGGCATTGGGATTGTGTGCCGGATTGAAATATATTTTGTAAAAAAATATTTGTGTTTCATTATGTTGCTTGGGTAAGTTAAAGTAACAAACTTCAGTTACAGTTACTATAGTAATTTCTGCACGAGTTTTTTTTTATTGTAGTCCGAGTAGGAATGAAACTGGCCACACTGAGGTTCTTTTGTAAAACTTTCCAATAATAAATTAATTCTGACTGACATACTAACTAAATGAGTAAAATGACTTACCCATATGATCTTGTATCTTCTTTCTAATGGCAGGTGTCCCTTCCAATCTCTTTCCATAAACGCTTGCCCTTCGTCTCACACCGTCCTCCTGCCATAGGAAGTAAGCTATACTTTACAGGATTAAGTAACTGTGATAGTTAAACCTGAATACTTGGGATTTTTGGGGAGATTAGTAATCTAATGCAGGGGTCTCCAAACTTTGAAGTCTTGGGGCCAGTAATTTTTTGGGTATATTGCAAGGGCCATAACAATTTTAATTTTTCTGTCCACCTATGAAAACACAGGCTTAGTCTTAAGCTGTCGCGGGCAGGATTGATGGCAGTGGCGGGCCGTATATGGCCCACGGGCCATAGTTTGGAGACCCCTGATCTTATGCATTAGCAAATAAAATCCAATAAAGGTCTTCACCTGACTTTTATTTAGTCTGCACACACATTCATTATCACAAGATCCTTAGTTTAATGCTAGTGAATAGTTAAAACTGTACACATTAGAGACAGTCAGTTTTGTCTATGCATTCAAATACAAACTAAACCTATTCCACAACAACACCCTTGCACACACACTATTAATAATACGAATTTTATTGTACATTATCCCGCATTTTTTTACTTCATTCGATACCCCCTCTGACAATGATAACTTATATTATAAAAACAGTACAAATACTATGCTCGGGCTTGAAGGTAGAATAAAATAAATGTTTCATTTCCTTAAACGTTGGATACAGAGGAGTTTTGGCCGTATGCATGTTTGAATACATGGTAAGGTAGTTATTGAGTGGGAGGATACTTAAAAGCTATGCAGGGCCGCGGGCTAGCGCCGCGAGGGGCCCGAGCCGCCCTGCCAGCCGCCGCGGTGCCCGCCGCCGCGTCCGCCCGCTCGGCCTCGGCCTGCCGCTGAAACCAATACAAATTCAAGTAAGTTTTGATCTAAAGCCTGTTCCGTGAGCACGTAGAATTTTGTCCAATGACCCCAAGCTACCCATCCTTATCGCTCGCGCGTAATTATATTGCTGTCGCGACTGTGCGACGGGCGCCCGCAGTGAGTGTGCGAGCGCGACGGTCATTGGACAAAATTCTACGTGCTCACGGACCAGGCTTTAGTACGGATTATTTGGTGGTGACTTAATGTTGAAGTATGAATTGACTATACAAAGGAAAAGGAAAACATGTAGCCCAGACCTATTCTCAGTGCTCACTGTTTATCAACCAAAACCTCTATTTAGGATACATAAAACACTATTTTGAAGAGGGTAGGCGAAGTGAGTTTCTCAGTGTAATTATTCTTTGATAAAAAATTACAGCAAATCACTTTTATTTAAAGAGGTGAGTCCTAAATAACACAAAAGTTTGAACACAATCACTTTGTTAGTGGTTTGGGGTTGGGTGTTTTGTTTTGTAAACACACAAATACAAATAACTGGTGATAGATGAAGGAAGTAGTGGATTTGGCAGAAAGTCAAGATATGCTTTAAGATTACCTTGAGCTCGTAATATAGCACTTTTACCGCGTCCTGCGGTTGGTTTGTTCCCTTGCCGTTTGAACATAGGCGCGTTCTTTAGCATGTCCGGTAGTATCAGGAACCTTATTTTGGAGCCCCGAATGTAAACATTCTCAAGCTGAGCGACACGTCCATCGCGATAGGTCACTGTGACCCCCGTCATTTGGCAATTCATATTATCCTCGGCTTCGATTAGTTTTCCCCGGTAAACTTCACCGGTGTTCGTTTCGCAAGTCACCAAATGGCCTTCGGCCTCATGAAGTACTTTAATAGGCACACCGATAGACATGGTGGATTGCGTAGAAATAAAATCTGTCTAGAAATTATCAGAATAAACTAAAAAACTTGGGATGTTTTCGGATTTCGTAGCTTGGGAAAATAAATCACAACAACAATGGCCGATTTGTCAACTTTTGTTGACAGTTGACACTACTTTGACAGTGACGTAAAAAAAATATTTTGCTTTGGACCGACACTATTTGGCCCATTCCCCCTATTTAACGCTATGATTTAATGCGATAACCCATCGATGACCCGAAGATTATTAGTTCCCGACCGCTTGATTGAGTGTATGTAACCAAGTATTTACGTATGCTGCAGTTTTGAACTGATGAAATAAGAGTGCGGTAATGCGAAGAAGCAACTTGATGCAACAATTATAAACTGATTGAATAAAATGCAGTTTAAATGCACCTTTAAAACTAGAACCTCTTCCGGGTTGAGTTGAGGAGGACAGGTAAAAACAATTCTAAACCAAGTTATAAAAGCTCAAGATGAAAAGTTTCGTTTCCCCCAACCCCAACTGTTTATGGTCCCCAACTGTGGCGAATTGGCAAAGCACAAACCAAACAAGCCCGAAGACATTTTTAAAAAACTAAAAGACATCATGCATCAATGACGTTTTTGACAGATGATCGAATTCCACCACAGATATAGATGACCCACGCTGAACTGTCCCACCCATGAAGCTACAGATAAAAATGGAGGGCAAAGTTGGGAACAAAACTTGAGTCAAATACCTACTTATATCTATCTCGCTCTCTGTGGCCCTACCTCTCTTTTTAGTGTGAACTGTAGTATTGCTATCTTCTTATTTAAATCTCCTTGTAAATTCTTCGAAATAGCCAATTCACTAACAAATAAGAAGTTAAATAAATAAATAATTAATATTTGAAACTTAGATTACCTAGTTAAATAAAAAATCACAAAATTGTCGGCCATTTAGGCTTAATGTGTTGGCGAATCAGGGAATTACAATCCCAATTTCTGAGGTATCGGTAATGTGGCAACATCGGCCGAATCCGGCCCATCATGGCGGTTGTTTACTATGCAGTTGATTTCGTTTGAGATTTTTCAAGGGACCTTATCATTGTTTTGTCTGAAGAAATGGTGCAAAATTGTATAGTGCGTGGTTGCGGTAGTTCGTGTTGTCCTGGAAGTGATATAAAATTCCACGCGTAAGTGTTTATTTCGTGATTTCTGACAGTGGATCATTGTTAACATATTTCTTTGTATTTTCACAGTAATTACTTCCTAAAACGTTTTACCAGTATTTAAACTTATTATTAAATGTTACATATGTCAAGAAAAAGAAGATTTTACATTGAGTTTCATTGACTTTGAGCAAATTTAAAATTTTTGTTTCTATAAGACATTTTGAAGTAGTATGACCATATTGAGGATATATCTGGGACTTTCTGTGGGACCTTACTTATCTAATTTTGCATAATGTTTTCTACGGCCGTTTACTGTAATCAATCCATATCCAAATCCGTCTGTCAACTGCCAAATTAAAATCTGTTTTCTATCAAATATCCACAGTTTTCGATGCCTTTACACTTTCTTAATGTTGTAATTCATCTTAAAACAAAAACATCGAAAACCTTTTTTCATAATCATATTAAGTGCACTTTATCAAGACACACTGTTTAAACGTAAATCAGTCTTTGTCGTCCTGAGAAAAATAAATAAAAGGTTACCCTACTTAGAAAGAGAGAGCCTGCCCACAGAAAGCGAGATAGTGATACATAGGTTGTGCTTCAAGTAGGTATTCTAAGTCTGGCCTCCATTTTTATCTTTAGCTTCATGGTCCCACCAAACTCAATGACAGGGGGGCGCTACCATCGTTCAACTATATGGTTTCCAACATGGCAAAAATCTAAACCAGCGATCCGGTATTGACGGTGGCGCCCCACTGTCAATGTCATCGACAGGACAGTCCAGTATTTTGGAACTATATGGATTAGAGAATTCCACCGAAGCTTGTTGTTCCTTTCTCAGAACATTTCATTATCGCTTTCTTCAGGGTATAATATTCTAAACTATTCTGCGTAATTAAGTTACTTTCATTATGGCGGCATCAGTAATGAAGGTTGAGATGGAAATAGAGGCGTGTTGCATTTGCGGCGGCGGCGGCGAGCTGATGAGCCCGGAGGAGCACGACGCCAGCACCACGGTGATGCTCGCGCCGCTGCGGACGATGCTCATGCACCTCAACAACAATAAGGTTTGTGTTCCCCTCGTCGATAGCGGTTTTAATCATCATTGTTTTGTTTTACAAACTAGGTTATGTGTGGTATTTTGTGCTAGCATCACTGGATAAACAACTTATTTCAGGTGGTCCCCGACGGCCGATTGTGCGCAGACTGCATCAGGCGAACCATAGATTCATATGAGTTCAGTACTACATTGTCAACAAAATCGGTGCCTCCTCTCAGCGAGAAGATCCGCGCTCTTCGTCGCAGATTACACGAGTTGACTCAGAAGATTGACGTATTCATCGTCGTCGGAGGTCCCGGAGTCAACGCCGGGGGCACGTATAGCGAGGAGGACATCATCATGGTGGAAAAGGATGCATTGGCAGCAGCATCGGCGGCCGATGATGAGGATTTGGAGAGGGCAAGAAACGCTCGAGGTGACACCGTTTATCAATGCTCCGTGTGCCCTCATTCATTCCACGTGAGTTGCTTCGGTACAATGGTTTTTTTTTATGTCATTTTCATACAAGAGATATTATGCTGTAGAAAATTGATCTTTTTGTTTGAAGAATTTGATTTGCTTTTTATTCTCTAAATTTCAAACAGATCATCAGGATGAATTCTGGAAATTTAATCATCTGAGTATACAATGTATGTTGAATAAATTAGCCCAAACTGCTGGGTGTCTGTCTACTATGCACGCCCCTTGGAGAGACATTGAACTTTCACTGTTATTATAGTTACGGTTACATTATTTTTAGTCGGTGTCTTCTCCAAGGGATGCGCAATAAGCAAGGGCGTCCGCGGAAGACCAGCTTCGTGACTTGCCCTTTTGAGCATGTCAATGCTGAGCGGGTGCCTTTTGGCACAGTTTGTACCTCTTTGTTTAATAGCCTACATTGTGTTTTTTGTTGTTTTTTTACTGACAATAAACCTATTCTATTCTACTATCAAAACATAAGTTCCAATCATGCACTTGCCTCTAGCGCGTGTCGGAGTACCGCGCGCACTGCGCGTCGCACCCGGCGGACGCGCTGCACTCGTGCTGGACGTGCGGCGCGCAGTTCGCGGCGCGCGACGCGCTGCGCGACCACGCGCGCGACCACGCCCACGCCGCGCTCGTCTGCCACCTCTGTAACACCACCTTCCAGGTACAAGATCTGTGTTAACTCACCTATTATGTCAGTAATTTGTTTAATCTGCGGTGTTTCCGGACGGATACGACCTGCAAGCTTTCAAGAAGAGAGCGTATCTTCACCTTAAAGGCCGGCAACGCACCTGTAACGCCTCTGGGTTTGCGGGTGTCTATGGGCGACGGTAATCACTTACCATCAGGTTATCCGTCTGCTTGTTTGCCTTCTGTCACATAAAAAAAAATACAGGTTACTGACATATTAATATATCACTAAGTTACTGAATGGTGTTGAGGATTCAACACAATATTCTAGCGGTGGTCAGGGATCAGTACCAACGTTCCTCAGATCTCGAATCGGCAATCCATCACTGTTGTGCTGTTGCTGTTTATTACAATACCTTTGTCAATCTCTGGAAACTGAATAAATTAACCGATTAGGTATTACATGGATCTTACAACTGTTTATGGCAGAATAACTAAGTTGTAAAACTAGATTTTTTATAAGTTATGGGATTGAAGCTATAGAGGCACATTGATAGACTGGCGTTGTAGCCTGTACACACGGCCACACTGTTAACCATCCACTTCCGTTTTTGCTCTCGCTCTCATCAAATGCGATAGAACGAGACGATATTTCAGGCAATAGATAGTTAACACTGTTGCCGATGGTGCATGACCTGACATGCCTCAGAGCCTCCTATTCCTTATTGTTTTTCCTGGGTGTCACTGTTTCTTCTTCCTTCATGTTTCTCGTGCCGCTATGTATTTTATGTACCTATTTAACTAACTTGCGTCCCCACAGAGCCAAGTGGAGCTGCGCCGTCACGAGGGCGGGTGCGCGGGCGCGTGCCCCGCGTGCGGCGAGTGGGCGGGCGCGCGCACAGCGCTGGCCGCGCACGCGCTGGCGAGACACGCGCGCTCGTCGCCCGCGCTGTGCGCCGCCTGCTTCCAGACGCTGCCCGGGCCCGCCGCGCTCGCCGCCCACATGCTGCGCCACAGGCAGGCCAAGCAGTACGTGTGTGGATACGACGGGTGCATCCTGCGGTTTGGCACCAGGTAAGCAGTGTCTAGGAGAGTTGTATCCGCCTCTACAACCGATGANACCGATGTGAACAACGCCTCAACGTGAACACGACCGCTCTGCCAAGAGCGTAACGAATCAGAAGAAGAAGCGGTGTCTGTTGCAATCTTCTTGTAGGACTATGAATTTACATGAGGCATGCTCAAGCTGTGGGTCACTTTCACCACTATCAAACCTGCTGGGTTAGGATGTGCGCCGTAACATACTCTTATCGACGTCAAAACATACAGGCAAATTAGATAAAATAGCGTAATAATAACCGCTTATCGCGGCGCGCATCCTAGGTCTACTGATCTGCCTAGCTAGGTTGCGTGATGCGTAAGCTTTTATCGCTTTTTTTACACGATAAGCCCATACGTTAGTCATCGATGAGATTTTATCACAGCGCGTAATCTTAGCTCGGTTGATGTCTTTCAAAACACCTCTTAAATAACGTTATCCCAGACAAAACCTGTGGGAACCTATAAGTCGTTTGTTTGTTGCCTAACTTGTCATTATTATACACTGTAAAACTAATAAATAAAAGTGACCATATGTGGATGTTCCACAATCATGATGGTTATTTTGTTCCTGGTGTAACACTTTTTTTTCTTGGCGAGATTAAATTCTTACCGATTTCCACAAACAAACATTCCAACTGACCGTAAGGTCACATATTATAAAGTGTTCAGTATTTCCTTTGTCACTTGATTGTGTCGTTGTTAGTGATCATTTTCTTTATTTTACGTTCTTGCATGTACATTAGGGTGGAGCGAAAATTTTTTTTTCAGATATCTGTAATGTAATAGTCAAAATTTTGTGCCTTTAGGGCTTAAATGAAGTCATGCAAAATATTAATCAATTCGGTTTAGAGTAACTGCCTCCGCATCGACACTGAATTTATAAAAAAAGTTGGTTTTAGACCTCACTTAGGCGCCACATATCTGTGCAATATTTAAATAAAAATACTATTTTTTTATCACAAATCGTTTACTGATATGCTATATTTTCAATGTAAAATACACAAAAAAGCCAGGCTTTGGGTTTATAATTTTAATAAGGGCGTAAGAGAGCGCGAGAAGAGAATTTTTCTGGCCCTTTTCGCGATTCGCGTCTTTGTCAGATAGTCTACTGGAAAAGCTCTGGAAACATGTGAGAAACTGCCTATCTATAAATTTGAACAAATTGAAGGACAAATGTGATCAGAAATGGCCAAATATCTGAGTACTGATCAGCAGAACTTGCATAAAATTGCTTCGGCGGTAATTAGGCGTATTCTCACAAAATCTCGCAATAATTTCTCCTGGTGAATTGTAACATGCCCGTTAGATCACACGAGCGTACCGAATACTACGTTTGTATTGTAGAAACTTAAAATCTAATAGAAATTTTGATACCTCTGGCTACTATTGTGGTTAAAGTCTATGCTTCTTCCTGGTTTTTGATTAAGACAAAACCATCATGCAAAGATGGCACCCGTCATCTGTTTAAAATTATTATGGCCTCGAGAGGCCTGCCAGATACCCTATGAAAGATTAAAGAACTAGTTACCCGGAGAAAAAGCTATTACGAGTATCCTGATAGCAGTCTTCTTACGATGTCAGAGAGCTGGCCGCTCGTCGCATACTAAAGTCATACAGTACGAGTCACGCTTCAATACCTAGAATTTTTTAAGTACTAGTGATACACTTTAATGCTATTTTATATATTTATTTAATTTACTTAACAAAACAGCCGCTTTTGAGATATTTATTTGACTAAGAAATTCGGCACATTGTCAAATCTGGTGGTGAGAGCAACCCTTTGTTTTAAGGCTTCTCTACCTCACTCAAGCTGTTGAGGGACCTGTGAAGATTACGATCAAAGATTCTATTTCTCACTGCATCCAGAAACTCACTAATAAGGTGCAATAAAAGTCAAGCTGGAATCGCGAAACGTGATGCCTAAATTTTGATCAAAAAAGGATTTTTAAGCATAATAATTAAAGTAATTTATCTAATTGTTGTATGTATTTCTTGTTATATTACCTTAGTAAATATCTAATCTATAAATTATCTGTCATTTAATACCTTCTTACTAATAAATAGAGCGTAATATTTCACCTTAGACGACTTTCAACTTTAAATAAAATTTTAAAATTTTGAAGTCACTGCGGAGGCAGAAGATATTCATTAAATGGGATAAAAAATTACAGTTATTTATACTTTCATATAAGGCACAAATCCCCCCCTATTAGAACTTCGAAACTAAAAAAAAATTTTTTCCCATACAACCGTGCTCCACCCTAATGTACATGTACAAAATTGTTAAAGTTCTTGTTCTGCCTGCAGGGCCAACCTGATGTCGCACATCCGCAAGTGCCACGCGGGCGCGGCCGAGGCGCCCGAGCCTGCCTCCACCACCTGCTCCGTCTGCCAGCGCACGTGCGTACATCCTACATGACAAGTTTATTCATCATCATCATCATCTCAGCCATAGGACGTCCACTGCTGAACACAGGCCTCCCCCAATGCTTTCCACGAAGACCGATCCTGCGCCGCTGCCATCCAGGCACCTCCCGCGACCTTCACCAGATCGTCGCTCCACCTAGTGGGAGGCCTGCCCACGCTACGTCTTCCGGCTCGTGGTCGCCACTCAAGAACTTTCCTGCCCCAGCGGCCATCAGCTCTACGAGCTATGTGCTCCGCCCACTGCCACTTTATTTTAGCGATTCTGCGAGCTATGTCAGTCACTCTGGTTCACTTACGGATCTCCTCGTTTCTGATTCGATCACGCAGGGAAACTCCGAGCATAGCACGCTCCCTTGCCCTTTGGGTGACCTTGAGCCTTCTTATGAGGCCCATAGTAAGCGACCCTCTACATGACAACTTTATTCATCATCATCATCATCTCAGCCATAGGACGTCCACTGCTGAACAAAGGCCTCCCCCAAGGATTTCCACGAGGACCGTTCCTGCGCCGCTCGCATCCAGGCACCTCCCGCGACCTTCACCAGATCGTCGCTCCACCTAGTGGGAGGCCTGCCCACGCTACGTCTTCCGGCTCGTGGTCGCCACTCAAGAACTTTCCTGCCCCAGCGGCCATCAGCTCTTCGAGCTTTGTGCCCCGCCCACTGCCACTTTATTTTAGCGATTCTGCGGGCTATGTCAGTCACTCTGGTTCTCCTACGGATCTCCTCGTTTCTGATTCGATCACGCAGGGAAACTCCGAGCATAGCACGCTCCATCGTCCTTTGGGTGACCTTGAGCCTTCTTATGAGGCCCATAGTAAGCGACCCTCTACATGCCAAATTTAATCATCATCATCATCATCATTTCAGCCGTAGGACGTCCACTGCCGAACATAGGCCTCCCCCAATGCTTTCCATGTTGATCGATTGGTAGCGGCCTGCGTCCAGCGCTTCCCTGCTACCTTTAGGGCTATATTTCACCGGGACACCATGGCGGCGCAACAAGTCGCCGGCTACCAACAAAATGTATACAGCTCTATAGACAGTTACTCACCTGGTGTCCGTTTGGTTGCGCAAAGCTGTATACATTTTGTTGGTAGCGGCGACTGGTTGCGCCGCCATGGTGTCCCGGTGAAATATAGCCCTTACGATATCGTCGGTCCATCTTGTTGGTGGACGTCCCACGCTGCGTTTTCCGGTATGCGGTCTCCATTCCAGAACCTTGCTGCCCCATCAGCCGTCAGTTCTGCGTACTATGTGGACTCATCTATAAGGACTTGCCATTGCCTAGAGAGAGTCAGAGAGGAAATAAAAAGCCACATACTCCACCGACACAGGCGTGGATTATTGTAGTTTCCTACAGCCGCTGGTTTCAGTTGGGAGCTCAATTCTCGAGATTGTTGACAAGTATGTCTACCTCGGACAAACGATCCAGCTAGGTAGGTCCAATTTCGAGAAGGAAGAAAGAATTAGGGGAGGCCTATGTTCAGCAGTGGACGTCCTATGGCTGAAATGATGATGATGATGACAGCCGCTGGGACCACGGATATTAGGGAGAAAAAAACTTAACTATTTGTTGTCGACGATTATTTTTGACCTTTGTTCTTCATTTGCTAGGTTCGGATCGGTAGCGGCCATGAAGAGGCACGCGAGGGTGCACCGCGTCCGCAACGAGGTGGCGTCACAGGTGCGTGTCTTCAACTTCTCTTATAACATCATGACTTTATTTAACCGCCTCTGTGGTCTAGTTGTAAGACCACCTGCTTCAGACGCAGAGGTCCCGGGTTCGATTCCCAGTGGGGACAGATTTTTCTGTTCGGTTTGGTTGGTGGTAGGGCTTGTTCTAAGTCCGCTTGGCTAGCTACCACCATCTTACCTAAGTCTCTCGCCATAACAACAATGTTAACACCATTGTTGTGTTCCGACAGAGGTAAGATAGCCAGTTCTTGAGGATTCTGGGTGAAGCTCGCTTCCACCTCCGGCCTGATCGTCACTTACCATCAGGTGAGTCATAGGCCAAGAGCTTCCTCGTTGTGAATAAAAAAAAAAGACAGCCATCGTTTTCGAAGTTAACCAATTGATTTTGATTTATTCATACCTGTGGAACTACTCCACATACATCGCATGCTTGGACCAAGATCTTTTGCCACGTGTACCTTCGGACTTCTTAATCGGGTACTCTTGTCAAATTGGTCGTGGTTCTGACGAGGTACACGGTGGGGTGTTCGATGTCATCTCCGAGGGTAGCTCTCCTGGTGATTTTATTTCTGACGGTTAGAGGCGTCGCGAGTACACTGGACCATGCATGGTGGACTCACACTCGTTTTCACCATCAATTCCTAATTTTTAAGTGACCCCTATTAGAACAAAATTCCTGTTAAGTGTTACCATAGGGGTCACTTAAAAATTAGGGGTTAATGGTGAAAACGGGCATCAGTATCCTTTGTTATGGCGTCTATCCAGCGGGTAGACGATTGACCTTACCTTCCTTCGCTAAAGTCCAGTCGCTGAGCACGTAGAATTTCGTCCAACGACCCCAAGCTACCGCGACTGTGCGACGGGCGGCCGCAGTTAGTGTGCGAGTGCGACAGCAATACAAATTACGCGCGAGCGATAAGGATCGACTTGCTCGACGACCGGACTTTAACCTTAAGACTAACTTCAAAATTGTATGCTTTCCTTCCAGGAGGAGGGCACGGAGAACGAGGGCTCTGTGGAGGGAATGGAGCTGGTGCCGGCGATGGACGGAGACGTGGAGTACCTCGAGGTGGAGACCCTTGAAGACGTCGACTACCACGCCGACTAGTGCCACTGCTGGTACCAGTGGCGTAACTATACCATCCGTGGCAAATTCTGTGTTCCTTGGCGCATCTAGCACTTATTTTCCAGGGGGACCCCTGAACCGATTAGGATCTTGAGCCGGGGACTCCTCGGGGCCTGTGGCATTTTTCCAGCTCTGCCAGCCTATTGTTACGCCACTGACTGGTACTTTAAAAAGCCTGTGCCACCTGAAGACGTTTGGTAGCTCTACTGCCAGAAGACCCTTCTTTCCCACTGGGCACAGGGCTCTGCAATCGAGAGGCTTTAGATGAAAAGGGCCCCTTGATCCTTAGTTTCCAGGGTCCCCAGAAGTTTAAAGACCGGCAGAGCTAAACATTTAGCATGAAGAACATATTTTAGCAACCAACAGAAATAATTGAATGGACCAGACCAGAAATATTGGTGACGAAGAACATATAAATACATAGTGGTTATTTATGAAGTCTCCCGAAGACCACAGCATATTGATTGAAATTTTTTAGACAGACTTCATTTACAATAACTATTTTAGTTGAAATGAAATGTGAATGTTTAAAATCTTAAATAACTAATTAAATTATAAAGAGTGATGAAGTGATGTGATGACGTAAAGTGGAGTGCCCTGTACAGGAAGTTGTATGTTAAAATGAAATAGATGATGAATGAAGAAAAGACTTTAAAGTAATTTAATGTAAGTGGGAGACAAGTGTGGCCAAACATTATAATTATATTAGTTTAGTTGTATTGCAAATATATTTGCATAAAATTGTATTAAAGATTTCCAATAAGCATAAAACATTTGTTGTTATTTTGTCTCAAATAAAACTACATGATGGTCAAATTCAACAATTTAATATAAATAAATTCTATATTTACAAAATCACTAAATTAAATCTATTTAGATACAAAAATACTGACTTCTGTATCACATAATCTTGGTAGAGAAATCAAGAAATAATACATCTAACTAAAGGAACAACAACAACATATAAATTCTATAGGCATTGACACTTGACTTGGTGTAGGATATTCCAACGTGTCTTTAGCCCAAGTCAAGACACGTAACTATGGGAGTTTTCGTGTCCGCTGCATTCAGGCCAAGTTTCAATGACTTGACGCTAATCGGCTGTTGCTGCTTTATCGCCCACTCCTCTATTTTATTTCAAAATAGGTACGATACATTTTGCCTGTATTATATGACTTTGACAATGACTGGTACTTGCGGAAATCATAAATATTCGCAGGAAAAAGTAATCGTGTAAAGTCCGTTTACACCATTAATCCCTAAATTTTGACCCCTTTGAAAACAAAATTCCTGTTATGTGTTACCATTACCACAGGTCACTTGATTAAAATTAGGGATTGATGGTGAAAACTGCTTGTTCCCAACGAGTCACACCCAAACGAGTAACCCTGTTACTCGTTGGGAAAAAAAAATCCCATCCAGTCACACCGTTGCTTGATGGGACATCTCTTTAAAAGGTTTTGTCCCACCGAGTAACGGTTACTCGTTTGGGTGTGACTCGTTGAGAGCAAGCGGTGAAAACGGGCATAAGGCTGGTTTTAGTCACGCTGACGCACGCTGACCGTCAGCGCTGACATCCGAAATGTATGAAGCGTCGGCGCCGAGCGATCAGCGTCACTTAGGAACGTTCCCTTCAATTACATACATATTGATCCGTCTGCGCCGACGATCAGCGAGCGGTCAGCGCGATTCTAAGGCTTGATTTCCTCCTACGCTGACGTCGGTCGCGTACATCGGTCGAGCGTACGAATAAATAAACACATCTATGAAGCACCGCACTGCAACGCCGTCGTCAGCGGCAGATGATTACATAGAACTAAAGCCTGGTCCGTGAGCACGTAGAATTTTGTCCAATGACCCCTAGCTACCCATCCTTATCGCTCGCGCGTAATTATGTTGCTGTCGCGCTCGCACACTCACTGCGGGCGCGCGTCGCACAGTCGCGACAGCAATATAATTACGCGCGAGCGATAAGGATGGGTAGCTTGGGATCATTGGACAAAATTCTACGTGCTCACGGACCAGGCTTTAGTGTGTATTCGTGCGCGCCAGGAAATCAAGCCACCCGCCTAAGTAACATGAAGTAGGCGTACGTTTAACTGTCGGCGGGCGGCGGTGCCGGCGGGCCGGCGGGCGGCGGGCGGCTGCGCGTGATGACGGCCACGCGGCGGCGGCGCGGCAGGCGCTCGCCGCGCCACACGCTCTCCTCGCCGCCCAGCACCGCGTGGGTAAAGTCGTAGCGCGCGCAGCCCCTGGAACAATGAGTAGAGATGGGTAGTGGGTAAAAACCCATTTCACCCGGTTGGGTTAAAACTGGGTGATTTGGGTAAAAACCGGTTTTTACCCATTATCACCCATTCTGGTGGGTGAAAACAAAAATAGCGTTTTTTTAAAGTGAGAAGTGGTATTTGTTGCTAGTGTTACGTAATGCAATCTGGGGGGAGAGGAGGTCTTGAAAAACGTTACAATGCGTTACAGTGGCGGAAGGGGTTTGATTTCAAGTTTTTAAGCACAAGTACTTTGTAGTTGGTGTTGTTATTTGTAACTTTATACCGTAATGTCATCAAAGAGAGAGTTTAGCATCTTTGGCATTCCCCCCCCTCCATGTCCTTACCATGATCACAAATTATTGTGTTCCTACTAAATTTCTTCTAAATCGGTTCAACGATTCATGAAATAACACCATTTTATAAAATAATTGGTCACATCATCATAACGTGATCAATTTTACGATTTGGCCACGATATAAATGCATATTAGTGTTAAATTTGACTTATTACTTATTAATCAATAAACTTAAATGAGAAAAATCCAATAAAAATAAAGAAAAGATACCAATTGAAATAATTATAAAATTATTTGTTTTCACCCGGTGTAAACACCCACGGGTGGAATGAAACGGGTTTTTATTGGGTTTTTACCCTCGGGTGGAAACCCATCTCTAACAATGAGGGCTATCGTTTTAGCGCTCACCAGTTAGCGCCACTGTAGAGTAAGGTCCTGTCACTTGCTAGTAGCGAAGACAGTGGCACCAACTGGTGAGCGCTAAAGTGGTAGGAGGACTATCGCATTTGCACTCATCAAGATGGCGCGACTGTAGAGTAAGGTCCTGTCAATCGCCAGGGGTGCCAACTGTTAAGTATAAAAACGATAGCCCTCATTAAAGAAAGAACGTGTACCAAACGCCTACCAAAATGGTCCACAAATGTGCAAGTATTTTAAGCTGTATACTGTATTAATTTAATGTTATGTCGGGCCTCTTCATGGCGAGAGTGAATAGGCACTTATAGGGCAGATATGTACCATCCTAGACTGCATCCCACTTAACATCAGGTGCGATTGTGGTCAAATACCTGCCTTGTTGTGCATAAAAAAAAATTCTTTCTTTCAAAATCGTTCGTTTCAGCCAAATGACGTCCACTGCTGGACAAGGGCCTCCCCCAAGGTTTTCCACAATGAACGGTCCTGCGCTGCCCGCATTCAGGCTCTTCCCGCGACCTTTACCAGACCGTCGGTTCACCTAGTCTTCCAGCCCATGGTCGCCACTCAAGAACTTTTCTGCCCCAAAGGCCATCGTCTCTACGAGCTATGTGCCCCGCCCACTGTCACTTGATTTTAGCAATTCTGCGAGCTATGTCCAACTAAATATGAGCTACCAAATAATAACAGCAATAAAAAACATTCTTTGAACCTTAACTTGGAATTTCAAAAGGAGATTCAATCTTGCATAGTTTTTTCATGCAGAAAAAGGCAGGTATTTGACCGCAATCGCACCTACTGTTCGCATTATAAAAGAGTTATCGAATCGTTATTTCACACAAAAACTACTGAACGGATTTTGATGAAACTTTATAGTATTATTGTTTATAACCCAGATTAACATATAGGCTATAATTTATGACGATCTGTGACAAACTAAATTTCACGCGGGTGAAGCCGCGGGCAAAAGCTAGTCTAAAATAATTTACACATGTAAAATAATCGTATATTGATTACTATGTATCTTTTATGGAAAATTATAATAATTTTCCAATTAATGTTCGCGCGAAGCCAGGATGAGTCACTCGTTAGTTTATCGTGACTAATCGCACGAGAATCTGGCGAACAATTTCACCGGCCACGGATAAGGGGATATAGCTCAGTGGTAGAGCATTCGACTGCAGATCGAGAGGTCCCCGGTTCAAACCCGGGTGTCCCCTGATAAAACTCTTTTTGTAATTTTTTATTTTTTTATGAAGTACCATACTACGTACTTCAGCTGCTTGGCTATCATCTTTTTTTTTTGTGGTCACAGCAATATCAACATAATCTTTTTATGGTTTAGACGACGATTTATGTACTGTGAATAAGTACATGATATGGGTAATGATAGTACGCAGAACTGACGGCCAATAGGGCAGCAAGGTTTTGGAATGGAGGCCGCGTACCGGGAAACGCAGCGTGGGACGTCCACCCACAAGGTAGACCGACAACATCATAAAGGTAGCAGGGAAGCGCTGGACGCAGGCCGCCATACCAATCGATTATTGATCAACATGGAAAGCATGGGAGGCATGTTCTGTTCAGCAGTGGACGTCCTATGGCTGAAATGATGATGATGAAGGGTAATGAGTAAAGCCCGGTCTGTGAGCACGTAGATTTATGTCCAATGACCCCAAGCTACCCACCCTTTTTGCTCGCGCGTAATTATATTGCTGTCGCGACTGTGCGACGGGCGCCCGCAGTAAGTGTGCGAGCGCGACAGCAACATAATTACGCGCGTGCGATAAGGATGGGTAGCTTGGGGTCATTGGACAAAATTCTACGTGCTCGCAGAGCAGACTATAGTATACCTCATGACGTAGAGGCAGCGGCGCGCGATGAGCGCGTCGAGCGCGAGGTGGTCGCGCGCCGCGTGCCGCAGCCGCATGACGGCGTCCGACGCCAGGCACAGCCCTGCGATCACGCCGCCGCAGAACTACGAGCAACGGTATAAGAATCATTCACTAACACCAACTGTATTGACTTCATCACCCAGCCCACGCCAAATAAAGCAAATTGTCTCCCAATGTTTAGAGAGCCGCTAGCAGTAACTAGGGTGCTGCGAGTGGTGTCCAGGCATAGAGCACAGAAAAGATTGACTGACTGAAGACCAGGGTGCAAATCTAAAAGCTAACACCATGAGTAAAAATGAATTAATAATATTTAAGTGATCTATCTTAAAAATTAGGGATTGATGGTGAAAGCGGGCATAATTATAGCAGTGTCGATGGATGTCGCACATTTTTAGGGACACCTGTAGCAGGATCAGTCCATAGTGGTCAGTTAATAGAGGGTTTTCACCAAAGCGGAGCAGAGCGGAGAGGTGTTTTGAATAACTAATCAGATTTAATTATTTCCAATTCTCTCAATTACGCGCCGCGCTGTCAAATTCTATAGAATTTGACGGCCCGACTTCTCCACTCTACTCCGCTTCGCTCCGCCTTGGTGGAAATTAATTAGGCCAGGCCAGGCCAGGCCTTAATTGTGCCAGTACAGCAAGAAGACATTCACTGACGGGATGGGGCGATATTGCTAGTTGCCTGAGAGAAATCTGACCCGGACGGCGTCGACGTGCGGGCGGATGAAGCCGGCGGCGGCGAGGTCCAGCACGTGCGCGTGCGGCAGCGGCTCCTCACCGGGCCCGAAGGCTAATTGTCGCACGCGCGCCAGCACCAGCGAGTTGGGCTCGCTCCACGTGCTGCGCTCCGTCTCGCGGTACCCTTGTATTGCCTGAAACGATATAATATTAATAAAAATTATGTTAATGAAAATGACGTCCGTTTGGTATAGTGGTTCGGAAAATACTAATATTCCAGAGGTTGCGGGTTCGATTCCCGTACAGTACAAACATGTGTGCATGAACATATTTGTTTGTATTGGACTGGGTGTTTTCTATGTATAATATGTATGTATTTACATATGTTTATATCCGTTGTCTAGTACCCATAGTACAAGCTTTGCTTAGTTTGGGACTAATAGCGTAGTGTAAAATGTCCAATGATATTTTTTATTATTATTTATTAAATAATTTACATGGTTATAAGGCTAAAAAGAAACCACGTGAGTTAAGAGGACAGCTTGGCATACACAGCTGCTTTTTAATGATAAAAAGACACTCAACAAATCTGATTATAGTCTGATAACTGATTGCAGAAAATATTGTGTGATCAGTCAGAAGACTATGAACAGATTTGTTCTGTGATTAGGCGATGAGAGCAGAATCCCCACTGGGACTCCCCCTCTATGGTTAATTTTGGATCTTCATGTCCAGAATGTGCTGTTGTTTGTCATCATATTATTATAGTTTCCCTAGTAAGTTGGACAGTTGTTAGTGGTTTTATTTAATTAATTATTCTTCAAATATCTCTGCTCAATATTAGATCTACTCGCTCTGAATCTGGATGTACTTGCATCCAATAAATATTTTTTTCTTTTTACCTTTCAAACATAATAAAAAATTGAGAGAAAGTTTAAGTTATAATAAATTGAACTTTATGATTTTATTTTCCTGTAAGTTATTAAAAATTAGAAACTTATTATAAAATTTTTGAAATAACTAATTTGGAACAAAACTAAAAACAAAAACCAATTTTGTTAATTTGATTATTATTTCGAGCTTATACCTAAACTGTTATGAAAACTTTTTAATACAAACGACTCAGTCATTTCCTAGGTATCTAATCAATAAATAAATTAAAAAAACAACGTACATTGTCCCAGTGATCGAACTCATATCTCATGCGTTTCAACGCGGGCTCCAGCTCGGCCAGCAGCGCGGCCTCCTCGGCTTCCGACACGAAGTCGGGCAGCACCTGCATGTCGCGAAGCACCGCCGCGCGAAGCTCGGGCTCCTCGTCAGCCTTCCATGACGGCAGTATCTCTATCAGGCTCGGATCTCCTGCAAGTATTTTTTATCTTAACACTTTTCTAACGGGCGACGCAGTGGACATCCTTGGGGGAGGCTTTTGTCCAGCAGTGGACGTCAACGAACGAACTTTTCTGACAGCTACTGTTGTGATACGTAGTTAACCGCCTCTGTGGTCTAGTGGTTAGACCACCTGCTTCAGACGCAGAGGTCCCGGGTTCGATTCCCAGTGGGGGCAGATTTTTCTGTTCGGTTTGGTTGGTGGTAGGGCTTGTTCTAAGTCCGCCTGGCTAGCTACCACCATCTTACCTAAGTCTGTCGCCATAACAACAATGTTAACAGCATTGTTGTGTTCCGGCAGTTAGAGGTAAGATAGCCAGTTCCTCCGTGGTTGAGGATTCCGGGTGAAGCCCGCTTCCCCCTTCGGCCTGTTCTCCCCTCCCAAAGGGGGAGAAAAAGGCAAAAAGCTTCCCTTTGTGGAAAAAAAAAAAAAAAAAAAAAAAAANTTTTGCTCGCGAGTGTATTTTTCCCTTTTTTTATTGATCCACCTGTATAGCGTCCACTAATTCCTTTAGTCTATCGAAAGCAACGCACTTAACTTCGTGTACACTGCGGAGAGCTTTTTGCGTCAAAGGGTACCTAAATGACATTGCGAGACACGAAATAATACAATGAAAAGTTCAACGGGAGCTTTTAAAAACCCACAGGCAAATATTGTCAAAGACTTTATAATCATAAACGAACTATGCGCGATTTCTAGTGTGGTGTCAAACAGACGTTAGATAGGCCGGCACGCGCTCCGGAAGTCCACAACGAGGATGTTTCCTGTTTTCGAATTCCTTGCTTAAAACATTTTTGTGATGTTTGCTAACAAGGCATTGGATTATCTGTTTGATTTTATTATGAATAATGTAGGCCGGCCGTAACATCGGGTCTAGAGCAAAGATAGATCCGTAAACTAAGTCAAGGCCGAGCCGATGTTGACAGGCGGTCGGTGGGCCAGACCCTGGGCCTAGTACTGGGGGTTGCTGGTTGCGACCATTAGCAATTTAAATTAATATCCCAATATTCCTCCAAGTCAGCTTAAAATAAGAAAGAGGGATCAATAATGCAGCGCGGCCGGCGGCGACGAGCGGCATGGCTTATTCAGCAGCGCGACGCCCCGGCCGCGGCGCCGCTATGCTCCATACTTAATGTTTTGTTTGCGCATATTATCGGCCCGCTTATTCCCGGAGGCCCTGCGCCTCATTCTGGATGTAAATTACATTAGCTCCGTAATACTATTACGGCTGTTACATATTTTATTTCGGTAAAGCGCACGCTCGGCCGCACCAAGCGGGTCCGCCTCTCGCGGGCGCTGGCGACTCTTGCAGCGACAACCTTTCAATTTTCGGTGGACTCTGGCTCGGTGAAAAAATTCAACTGCGTGAATATAGCCCATGTTATGTCAATCACGAAATTTCACCAAATGACTTTGTAGAAAAGAGTTTTTATGTAAGTGTTAAACACGACTTACTACTAACTGCGAACCGTGACCATGTAGCTAACTCCCTTTCGCAACCGGGCCCCCAGATCCTGCCGGGCAACACGAACACGTACCTGGAGAAGAAGAACCGCCTGGAGCCGGCCATCTGGGCGTCGCGCCTGCGCCTGCTGCCCTACAGCTCGCACCGCCGCACCGTCTGCATGCGCGCCGAGCTCTACGGCTGCCCCTGGAGCGGTGAGTCCCAGCCCGCTCACTTGCAGCTTCCCTTCCATGATTGTCATGGACGTCATGCTTGCTTGGACGAATAAATATTCCAAGTCGTCATGATGTGGTTTCTGCTACAGTTCAAATAATACTAAAAGCAAATAACAAAGAGGTCACATACCATCGGAGTATAAAGGTTTGTTTCTTTTTTATTCGTAACTTCATCCACTACATTCGCTTTGTAAAAAACATGCAATGTTTCTAACGAGTTGCATAAAACGTTTCGCGACATCAAACATTCAACATCAAACTTTTAGCTTTCCGCTGGCAAAGTTACGAGGAAATAAAAGTTTGCCCGAGCCATCCACAAACGCATAGCGTCAACAAGTGTCCATAGCAAAAAACGTTTTACCTTTCAGTCGCATATGTCAAAGTAAATGCAACGAGCTCCGTGTTTGCTCTGAAGTGATATAAAGTACGGCGGACAGTTGTGTGTGCGTACTCGACGAGCGCAATTAGATTAGACCGCAATGTCATTATCAAATTGTGATAAATGCAAGGCCGATCACGCGTGAATCACGCCGGCTTCCGAGAACCGCTGCAGCCGGCGAGTTGTCTTGCCTGGCTCGCCCGACAACGCATCCTCAATTGATACACTCATCATGCTACCTATTAGCGGTCGGTCATGACTAGTGATTTGACCCTTTCATGCCAAGCAATAAATAAAAGCTGGTCAGGTAGTTGTGCCACTCTTTCATTTCGACTTCAAAAGTACAAGTTGTTATTATTCTTTTCATTTAACTAACAGCCACGAATGACAAAGTTCGTAACATATTATTATTTAGAATTTCTGAATACAACAACCACCTTTAAGGTAGGTATCCAACTGTCACGTACTTCCAGATCGAGCCGGGAGCAGCTCCAACTGTTGGGAGTGAGCGCGAGAGCAAACAATTAGTGTGTATTTGTATAATGGCCATTATCGCCGCCGAGGTCTGCCGGGATTCGAACCCGGCGGGGAATGTTGTTGAGCGCATTACATGTAGGGCGCGAGGGCCCGCCAGCTTCAGGGGGGTATCATAATATAATATGTCCATTAGCTTTTCTTGCTGCTCCTGACGATGCAATGCGGGAACGTCTTGGTCGACACTCACACAGATATGTAGGTTGTGCAAAAACGCATACAAGATTACTGGTGCACAGATTATGGGTGCTTATAATAATATGTGTATGGAGCTTTCTTTAAAATTTTAAATATAAATACTGCGGTGTGAGAACTGTCCTAATCAATATTTTTGCAACGAAATAGGTAACAAGACTTGCAACCGCCTAACCCCAACACTAGGACAGTGGGCCTCGGGCTCGACCTAGTGAATCCGTGAATTGTTTGCCGCGGGGGTAGTGACACAATGTTGAACAAATACAGTTCATTCAGACTATTCAGACAATAATTCTGTTATCACAATTGATACCAAGTATGAATCTATCCTATGTGCGACTGTGCATGTGGTAACATTATTCAAGATTTATATTAGTTTCGAAACAAGTAGTATCATCAGAATACGCGCGTATGCGTTTATTCCAGCGATGCCTCGGCAAACTTTAAAAATGAATGTATATTTTTGCCGCCTCGCGCTTCGCGGCGCACCGAGTGGCGTGCCGCCGCATGCATTAGCTGCACCGGCTCCGCTCGCGAGCCGCTTCCCCGAACCGTTATCGCCGCCCGCCGCCGCCGCCGCCGCCGCCGCACACTGCGCGCCCGCCCAGACCTCACAGACCTCTTCCAACATGTGTGACCGATAAGAATTTACTGTGCAAGTTTTAACAATCGTAATCGATACACTTTTCAAATACCTGCTTTTTGATTATGAAAAAACTTGGAGCAATTAATATCTCCAATATTTTTAAGTTTATATCAATTGCACAGTAAAACATCCAAAGTATCCAAACGCATTGCCTGCATTTGAGCATGATATTATGGTTCTTAAACATTTATTACCTACTGCGGAAGATAGGCCCAACATTAGCAGCCCAGTGTGCGGCGCGCGCGGGCGGCAAATTGCCGCGGCTAATCACACGTCTGCGTTCTTTAAACGCTCTGATTTATTCGCCGGCCGTCACGTGACCGCGGGCGACGCCGGTTCCATGTCATGACAAATTCCTAGCGATTAAGCTACACGAATTGTGCCGTTTTTAAACCGATGTTTTGACTGATACCGAAACATATAATACATGAAAATTGCCGGCGGTATACATTTTTTCTATTTTTTTTTAGGAGCCCATATTTCTCAGAAAGCACAACATTAAAATAAAATTGCCATTTATTTATATTGCGTAAATGGAATATAAAATTCGAGATATTGCAAAATTCATCCATCGTGTGAGAACGTATGAGTCACACGCAGTCACCATTTCATAGAGCTATTTTGGCAATCTGTCATAAGCGGTTACTTTATCCAACACTCGTCAAGTGTATGTGCACGAGCACGACTAAGGCCGGGCCCGACGCGGCAGCCGCCCGCGAGGGTTGGCTGTTCGTCTAGACGGTTTAAAAATTCACCAGCGCGGCTTTGTGCCTCGCGAACGGAAGAAACAGTCTCCGACAGCCTCGCGCTAATGAAGCCGCGACTCGCAGAGCTCCACGAGGGGCTGCCGAGGGCCCGACGAGAGCCCGCGAGTGGCCGCATTGTGCCCGCGGCTCCGTCTGTGCCGCGGCGCTCGCTGCCTCCGGCGGTCGCTGATTGCAGTGGGCTAATCAATGGCCAGCCTCGCGGTCTGTGCGCTAATGCCATTCGAGATGGTAATTGCTAACTTGAATTGCCTAGTTTGAGCCCCAAACTACCGCGATTAGTCGATTCTAGAATCCGTTATTATTACAACTTTAATTAAAAATGTAGACGCACTCCAGATAACCCCGTGATATTGATTTGAGGCATTCATTATGACCGTGAAGTTTCAACTTCACCTGGCGGCAGGCGCAACGGCCGCGGCGAGGTGCGTCACCGGCGATCGAATGTTGCCGCGAGTGGCCGCTGCATGCCCGCAGGTGGCGCGGTATAAATAGAACGCATTGTTCGCCGCACGCACCAGCACCGTGCTCCAAACATTGAGCTGAATCCATAACCATTTAGAATGCTATTATAATATAACCACATATTTAGCTAAAGTTGGTTAAAAAAAAATAAGTTTTGTACTTAAAAGGCCCGTTAAATCCTCGTGGTTGTGTTACGAGTGGGTTAATCACAATATTCACAATAGTCCAGCGGAGATCGAAGCGAACACGCGTTTCTCGTATCGACCCCGACACCATTGGGCTATTGTTTAGACTCTCAGGTCTTCTATGATCTCAGCTTAGGTTTTTCAGTCCTAGTTTAATTAAAAAAACCTGTTCTACTACTGATATCAAAGTTATACGAGTTTAAGCATTGTACATTTCGTTCGAGATTTCACCCAAGTTTAAATTCGGCCGCATCACTAGTCCGACCGCGGCTGAGCGATTGTGGCGTCTCCTACTTGCGCAGTGCGCACACGCCGGCTGCATAGCAAGTGACCCTTTCCAGGAGTTGTAGCCGTGCAATTCGCTGCAAATGAAATGTAGTCACATGATTCATACCTACATCTATAGGTTTTACCATTTTTCATACTTGTTACGCTTGATAGGCCGCCGCGACCCGCACGCCGGGTCAGCTAGTATTACATAATTAAATAAAAATTGAATTCATGCAACAGTTGAAGTAGTGGATATTCTGTGAATCTTTCTTGAGAGTTCAGAACTCATCGTTCGTGTTGTGACTAACGATCATAACTCTGCGCTTGTTTACTTTCTTGATCCGCGCAATGAGCGCGCGTTAATGGGCTGCCGCGGAACAAAGGCGGCGTTGTAAAATATGAACGCGACGCGGGCCCGCGCCGGCCCGGCCTGCCCTGCATTGTACACAATACGTTATTAATGAAAAGCGTTCCACTCCAATACAACATTTCGCTTTCGATTGAAACCAAGTAAATTTTATTTATTTTAGCGCTGATTGCTCAGCGAAATTATTTCAGTCGCTTTTGGCTATTGGTTGGGTGTGCCCTCGTACAGAATCTTTGCCATAGAATTACCCAGTTTGAATTTTGGCAGAAGATGTAAAATTATTCAGTTTTACATCTTCTACCAAAATTCAAAGGCACAACTTCTAAAGATACGCAATAGTTTTCCCTGAAGTATAAAACATTTTACCAATACTTTTATACAGAAACCAAAAAGTAAAAGTATTATTAAGTAATCTGGCACTGTTAGGTAACCTGTGCTGAAAAAATAATAAATGTTTTTAAAAGATCTATAAGTATTATGTTTTGTAATTTAAGCTTGCATTTCTTAAAATGTAGAACTTGTGCCCCGTCTACAAACCACTTTAAAGCTACAACAGTGAAACATTTTTGACGTGCTTTTCTCCGCACTTAAGATGTGTCACATTCCAGGAGGGATGAAGCCAGCACTTTAATTTGTATTCCATTATTTCTTTTTATCTTGTTGTTACAAGCTTTTATTTGTTTCACACCTGTCCGGTGTCAGGCAATGAAATCTTGCAAGTCAAATTAATGTTTGAGTCCATTGAATTCGACTTACTTAGATGTTGCAAAATAATTGTGAAGTTTCATGCAAACTGTGTAACGTGACGATGCTTTTGTCCCGCAGCCGGCATCGTGTCGTACTCGATGCCTAAGGGCAACAAGCGCAGCAACGGCGTGGAGCTGACGGACACGACGTACGACGGGCAGTGGGGCGCCGAGCTGCGCGGCGGGCTGGGCCAGCTGGTGGACGGCGTGTTCGGCGGCGACGACATCCGCGAGGCCGCGCGCCCGTCCGCCTGGGTCGGCTGGCGCAACGACTCGCGCGCGCCGCCCGCCGTCACCTTCGAGTTCGACCGCGTGCGCGAGTTCAGCGCCGTGCACATCTACTGCAACAACCGCTTCATGCGCGACGTGCAGGTCGGTCACTACTCACTAACCACTGTCCACTGTCTCTGCGGCTGGCGAATGTATTATGCATGCTTGTACCTGTAAGAAGCCCACCGAATGCTAGCGACACTGTATCAAAACATTTGACTGGCAAAACCATGCGCACAAGCATACAAATGCAGATAGCGAATGTTTTCATTTCTTACAGTACTGCTCGGCTTATGTTTTATTTTTTATATCTCGATGTCGTATTATGTTATATTATGTTTGTACGTACGCATTAGTTTTTCATAAATCTAAGTTAACCTTACCTGCATGCGATGCACTTACCTACTTACCTACCTCTAATTCCCAACACCAAAATTATATGTAGACTTTGATAATGAAATAATAAATTTGACGTATCACTGATGCTAAGAATGTACTCTAACGAAGAGTCCTCGAGGAAGGGTTACCAAATTCCATGGGAAAATAAAAAGATTCGGAAAATACTTCGTAGATCCCAAATTAAGGGCAAGAAACTAATATTAATATCACACAACTCTGTATATTTTCCAATTTCTATTCTATTAAGGGGATCGCTGTCAGGTAGCTCTCAAATTTCTATATAACCTAAGTGGTTTGAAATTGGCTACAAGATAATTTAATATCGCAAACGTCATCGACTATAACAGGGCTCCCGATCGAGGCGCATTCACTTGCCGGTGAATCCGAAAATAAATACCTGGATCCCACTTAGACGATTGGCGCATCATATTCTATTCTCAAAGCTAGTTCTCCTCAGTGCCGGCTGACCCATTTAAAAGTGGCTTTGTTGTATAAAGTATCAAGACCCAGTTTCTAATTTTAACTGGCACATGTTAATGTCAAGTTGGCCGCAACCGAGACCTAAAATACCTCCTGCGGCGCCGGAGGCTTATTAAATATTCAACATTATTGGGTTCACTTCGATTTCGCCATCTTTGCCTAGCAGTGTTTCTGCAAACAAGGCGGCACTCCGTCGTTGTTATAGTACGGCACGTGCCGCGCTGAGTAACCCGCAGGTGCGGGTTACTTACGCCAGCTTATGTTCATTGAAATTATTACCATCACAATACATTATAGTGGCCATATTTTGCTGTTAATGTATGATTGTCGTTTTTATGGAGAACTGGAGAGTAAAATATGTAACTTTAAATCAAGCTTCATCACATCATTCAATTTATCAATAAATATGACAGCAAAAACATCAAGGGATACTTTTGGTGGCAGAATATATTATTGGTTTAAAAAGATGCAGAGTTAATTAAACTTCATGATGAATTGCGGCTGGCTAGCGAGTTTATTGCGTCATGTCGCTTTACCCGCGAATGACTGGTGTGTGCTGTTTTGTTACAATTTATTTGTTGATTTTAACTAGCGTAGATTTGCCTATTGCTAGGTAAATATTGTCTGGAGAATAGCCTTTACTTGTGTACACCTTGTTTTGTTTTGACAAGTCGTTTTGTATGCAGGCAGCTACCAACCGGTCAATCTGGATATCATCGGAGAATGCCTATGTGCAGCGGTGGACGTCCTGTGGCTGAAATGATGATGATAATGATGATGATAATAATAAGTCGTTTTATAATACACTAGCGGTCGCCCGCGACTTCGTACGCGTGGATCCCGTTTTACCCCCTTAGGGGTGAAGTTTCGTAAAATCCTTTCTTAGCGAATGCCTACGTTATAATATCTACCTGCATGCCAAACAGCCCGATCCGTCCAGTGGTTTGGGGTGTGCGTTGATACACTATGTCAGTCAGTCAGTCACATTTGTCACACCTGCGGTCAGGTCAATGTGACCGCAGCCCGCATGTATGATTACTTTGATATGTGGCATGTCCCCAGTCTCGCTGCGTGAATGAGCCAGTGTTTAGTCTGGTCTGCGAGCACGTACAATTTTGTCCAATGACCCCAAGCTACCCATCCGTATCGCTCGCGCGTAATTATGTTGCTGTCGCTCTCGCACACTCACTGCGGGCGCCCGTCGCACAGTCGCGACAGCAATATAATTACGCGCGAGAAATAAGGATGGGTAGCTTGGAGTCATTGGACAAAATTGTACGTGCACACAGTCCGGGCTTTAGTTTCCATGGGATGGAGCGATGATGTGTGGCGTGCGCAGGTGTTCTCGGAGGCGGTGGTGTCGTTCTCGGTGGGCGGCGCGCGCTTCCAGGAGGAGGCGGTGCGGTTCGCGCCCGAGCCCGACCTCATCTTCGAGGCGTCGCGCAACGTGTCCATCAAGCTGCACCACCGCATCGCCAAGTGGGTGCGCATCGAGCTGCACTTCGCCGCGCGCTGGATCCTCATCAGCGAGGTCGTCTTCGACAGCGGTGAGTGCGAGCGACCGCGACCCGTGCTTCCGACCAGAACACTCCAGGTTTTTAGTGGGTTCGAGCCCCACATGATAAGCGGGCAATCGTCATGGAAATCGTGACTAGAAATTTTATTAACATCGATAGTTTGATGTTATGAGTACAAATATCAAGATGAGTGGACTTCACAGTAATTTTATTATATTACAATATCTAATGCCTCCAAGTTCATACACTTGGCACAATGAAACTCTCACTTTTGTGACTTTTTTAANCAGTTATTATCTTGTTACGAGAACAACATGTTTCATCGACATAGCGATATGCAAACATTTAGTCGTCATGCAGTATTATTATTAAATTATTAATAGTCATTATTAATATTACATGATCTACCTCCAATAGAATTCAAATGTCAAAAATATTTATTACAATGCAATTACAATATCAATTAAAACAATTAGGTAATTCAGGTAATTAAAATTTCAGATGTCACAAAGATTAATGTGTTTCATTTTATTATAGGAATTTTCGTAGTTTTTTTAATATCCGGTATCCGGCCGGATAGTGAGCTACTATCCGGTATCCGGCCGGATAGTAAATTTAGGCCGGATATCCGGCCTACCGGATAGTTGCCGGATATCCGTTTCATCTCTAGTGTGAAGTGGGGATGCATACGTTTGAAAGTGCTTGTCGCGGGTGGTGCGATTTATTTGCTGTCGAGTGTATTTTGGAAGATGAAGTGACTTCGTAAACTACAAGTCGCGCGCACGTAAGCTCTCTACTCTCTAGCTTCTCAAACAGAATGGAACTAAACAAACGCATGTGTGTGTGATTGCAGACGTGGCGCAAGGCAACTACTCCATGGAGGTGGGCAAGGCGGCGGGCGCGCCAGCGGCTCCGGCGCCGGCCGCGGAGGCGCCGGTGTCGACGGCGCGCGCGCAGGACCCGCTGTACCTGGCGCTGGTGGTGGGCGTGCTGACGGCGCTGGCGGTGCTGCTGGGCGTGGCCGTGCTGCTGCTGGTGCACCGCCACCGCCACCGCAAGTGCTTCGCCTCGCCGCTGGCCAAGGCCGCCGCCGCGCCCGCCGCGCACGCCGCGCAGCCCATGGCCTTGGACGGGTGAGTCTCAGTCTCTGAGCACCGGTGACACTATGCACTGAGGTGCCAATATAGCGCAGTTGTGCAGTTCTGTTGTCCTCCCTGGAAAGCATGATTAAACTGCCGATTAAGGCGGGACAACAGGTCTGCACCACCAATATGACCACCGATCTACTTGCTCATTACACTGCTACAATAAACCCATTTGTTCCGGCAGCTACTCGGTGTGCTCGCCGCCGGACTCGAAGCTGCACATGGAGTGCGCCATGGAGATGAAGGCGGACGAGTACCAGGAGCCCTACCAGCCGCTCAAGTGCGCGCCCTACTGCGGCTACAGCTCCGTGCTGCTGGAGATGCACCCGCTCGCGCCCTCCGGTACCCCGCCCCCCCTAGCGAGTGCCAGGAGCCCCCCCAGCCGCTCCGGTACCCCGCCCCCCCTAGCGAGTGCCAGGAGCCCACCTGATTCCCAGAGAAATGACTTCAATGCTCAAATACAAATTCTTTATTAGTAATTAGTATACGAATCCTTTCAGGGCATTTATACGAATCCTCGAAATATTGCCCTACCTCCATTTCGCGACAACATATTGGCTGGCGCTGAGAAAATTTGTGGGAAGAAAAACATCAATCCCCTATTGCCAATAGATATTATTATAAGAGTAAGGGAGATATCATATAAGGGTGAGCTAGGCAGGTTAAGTCCCTTCCCTTCAATATAAATTATTTATCCTTTTGTAATAAAGACTTAATAATCTGCGAGTTTATGAATCTAAATCATAAGTATGTAGTTGTAAGTGTACGTATAATAACCTGTGTGTGTGTTTGTGTGCGCAGACAGCTCCAACTACGAGTACGCGGTGCCGGAGCTGAGCTCGGCGCCGCTGCTGGGCCGGCGCCGCGGCGACTCGGGCTCCGAGCGCGGCGCCGCCGAGACGCTGCGCCTGGCACGCCGCTCGCCCACGCTCAGCGCGCGCGACGCACGGGTCAGTGCCGGGACTAGTGTAGCTAGCATCATACAGCTGGGCGCCGCTGCCGGGCCGGCGCCGCGGCGACTCGGGCTCCGAGCGCGGCGCCGCCGAGACGCTGCGCCTGGCACGCCGCTCGCCCACGCTCAGCGCGCGCGACGCACGGGTCAGTGCCGGGACTAGTGTAGCTAGCATCATACAGCTGGGCGCCGCTGCCGGGCCGGCGCCGCGGCGACTCGGGCTCCGAGCGCGGCGCCGCCGAGACGCTGCGCCTGGCACGCCGCTCGCCCACGCTCAGCGCGCGCGACGCACGGGTCAGTGCCGGGACTAGTGTAGCTAGCATCATACAGCTGGGCGCCGCTGCCGGGCCGGCGCCGCGGCGACTCGGGCTCCGAGCGCGGCGCCGCCGAGACGCTGCGCCTGGCACGCCGCTCGCCCACGCTCAGCGCGCGCGACGCACGGGTCAGTGCCGGGACTAGTGTAGCTAGCATCATACAGCTGGGCGCCGCTGCCGGGCCGGCGCCGCGGCGACTCGGGCTCCGAGCGCGGCGCCGCCGAGACGCTGCGCCTGGCACGCCGCTCGCCCACGCTCAGCGCGCGCGACGCACGGGTCAGTGCCGGGACTAGTGTAGCTAGCATCATACAGCNCCTCCTCCCACAGGCGCACCTCGTGCTTGTGAGTCCGAGCGCTTGCCTTGGAGACGGAGCGTGTTCTCACCTGAACTCCAGGTTGTCCCGGGCGACTTCAAACTTGCTCTCGTAGTAGCGCTCCTTGAAGCCTCCTCCCACAGGCGCACCTCGTGCTTGTGAGTCCGAGCGCTTGCCTTGGAGACGGAGCGTGTTCTCACCTGAACTCCAGGTTGTCCCGGGCGACTTCAAACTTGCTCTCGTAGTAGCGCTCCTTGAAGCCCTCCTCCCACAGGCGCACCTCGTCGTGCTTGTCGTCGTCGTCCGAGTCCATGCCTGCCTCCGCCGCCGAGCGCTTGCGTCCGCGCTTGTGGGAATCCTCTTGCTGAGAATTGCATTACACATAGAAAGATATTTAAGGATTTGCCTCACGTAGTCCAGTCATTATAGTAAGTTCACCTCGGAATTCCNCGATCCGATCAGTGAACGCCACAACCGTGCTAGGAGTGGTAATCGACAGCGGTCTCCTGTTTACGATGCATGCGCAAGGGATCGTAGATCGCGCGGCCAAATGCTTCGGGAAGATGTCGCGCGTGTCGGCGTCTTCCTGGGGCATTCGATATCATGGCCTACGTATCTTGTACCAGGGCACTTTCGTTGCAACCCTTACGTATGCATCGGCTTGCTGGCACGAGCGCCTTCGGGTGCAATCCGTATGCGGCACCCNTGTCCATTGCGATACACGTGCCTATAACTATCAATCAATCGACATAAAAGCTTGTTTACAATCATTCAAACTATCTGAAATTGTTGAAAAGACATTAGCATTGTTGATGTATCCTTAATGGTGGTACAACAGGAGGAGGAGTGCATGGTGCGCCTGGAGTCGCCGAGCCCGCGCGCGGCGGCGTCGGAGCTGGCGCGGCGGCTGGCGGGCGCGGCCGTGCCCGAGGTGCCGCGTCACCGCCTGCGCATGATCTCCAAGCTGGCCGAGGGCGCCTTCGGCACGGTCAGTTCAGTACACTTCTTTGTTGTCTTGTTTTTGTTTTTTATTACTAACACTAGATTAAGATTATCATGTTACTAACACCTATAGATCTATGTCTGAAATAAACGTTTTATTATTATTATTAATTGTACGCTTTGGAGCTCACGGGTCAAAAGTGGCCCGGTCCTTTATAAGGCTTGCGTGGGGATACAGATCTAACACGTAGAGGCCGTTTTAAGCGCAAAATAATCGACAAAAGTGAAAGTGGTGCACATGCTGGATCTAGTCTCTGACTACATCATGAGATGTACCATCCCCAGCCTGTGCACAGGAGCTATTGCAGTTATTGGAGAATGGACTAGGGTTATGGATGAAGGATGGAGGGACTGGTTACTGGGCTATGGATGGAGACTACGGGTCATTATTATTAGCACTGCAAGGACTTTTTTTAATCCATAATGAGGAAGCTCTTGGCCTCTATTTCACCTGATGGTAAGTGACGATCAGACCGAAGATGGAAGCGAGCTTCACCCGGAATACTCAACCACGGAGGAACTGGCTATCTTACCTCTTAATTGCCAGAACACAACAATGCTGTTAACATTGTTGTTATGGCGACAGACTTAGGTAAGATGGTGGTAGCTAGCCAGGCGGACTTAGAACAAGCCCTACTACCAACCAAACCGAACAGAAAAATCTGCCCCCACTGGGAATCGAACCCGGGACCTTTGCGTCTGAAGCAGGTGGCCTTACCGTTAAATTAAAGAATTTCTTGGTCAATCGTAAAGTGGTAAAGACATGAGTTATTTGCTCAGTCGAACGGTAAGAATATGGATTGATTAAAGTGTGGTGATTGTTGTCCTCAGGTGTACGTGGCGGAGGCGGACGGCGTGCCGGACTACGACGGCGCCGTGACGCCCGAGGCGCGCCTCGTCGCCGTCAAGTTCCTGTGCCCCGACGCCAACGAGCGCGAGAGGTGAGACTTGTTCTTGATTGCCTCTTTGGGGGTTGTCTGACTTACATTAAATACATTTATTAATGTACTAGCGGCCGCCCGCGACTTCGTACGCGTGGATCCCGTTTTACCCCCTTATTCGTAAAATCCTTTCTTAGCGGGTGCCTATGCATCATAACATCTACCTGCATGCCAACTTTCAGCCCGATCCGTCCAGTGGTTTGAGCTGTGCGTTGATAGATCACTATGTCAGTCAGTCAGTTACCTTTGAGTTATATTATGTTTAGATTATTTAAAGTTATGCTTGCGACTTCGTACACATGAAAACAGTTTGAATAATATTTTACGTTTATGCAACATTTTTCTTTACTGCTCCGCTTCGATTGGCCGTAGGGTGATTTTATATAGTCTAAAACTTTCCTCGGTAAATGACTTTATTGACAATTTTATTGTCATGAATCCTTTGACTAAGAACAAATTGTTTTTTACTATACAGGGTGGAAACGTTAAGTGACCTCACTTGATTAGAAACTATACAAGATATCTAAAAACTGATTACTGATTCTGAAGGTGCATCACAAGCTCTTTCAAACGGTACCAATAATATGTTACAGAATGAACTGGATCATCTATCTGAAAATTCAATGTTTTCAGCCTCCATACTAAATGTATGTCAGCCAAACAATAATAGAAGTTTTTTTTTAATTAAATAATAAACATTTAAAATAGTCTCGTAAATTACATTCTTATTTAAAATTATTCTTGGAAAACATTGGTTTTAGGCTTTACTTGCTATAATATTATCAAGACATGAGTGCCATGAGTGTGGCAGTATTAAATGTATGGAAGCTGGAAACTGAATTTTTGGATAGGTTTAGTTTATTTTGTAACGTATTATTGGTACTATTGGATAGAGCTCGTGAAGCACTTTCAGGATCAGTAACCAGTTTTTGAATATCTTGTATAGTTTTTAATATTATGTGGTTTTACTAAATGTATGAAAGCTGAAAACATTGAATTTTCGGATAGATCCAGTTTATAATGTAACCTATTATTGGTGCCGTTTGAAAGAGCTTGTGAAGCACTTTCGGAATCAGTAATAAGTTTTTCGATATCTTGTATAGTTTAGAAATAATCGAATGAGATCAGTTAACGTTTACACCCTCTGTATAGTTGAGAAATAATCGAGTGAGATCACTTATGGTTTCCACCCTGTATTAGCATATAAGTTGTAGTTGGGACAGTGTGGAATGAATCGTGTGCGTTGCAGACAAGAGTTCGAGCGCGACGTGCGCATCCTGGCGGCGCTGGCGTGCCCGCAGCTGGCGCGCGTGGTGGGCGTGTGCCGCGCGGCGCCGCTGGCCGTGGTGCTGGAGTACCTGCAGCACGAGCTGGGCGCCTTCCTGCGCGCCGCCGCGCCGCCGCCGCCGCCCGCCGCGCTGCTGCTGGTGGCGCAGCAAGTGGCCGCCGGCATGCGCTACCTGCAGGCGCTCGGCTTCGTGCACCGCGACCTCGCCGCACGGTCAGTCAATTTGCATGCGCTGGGTCGAACCAGATTATGTGACTTCCAGGTTCTTACGGGGCACGGCTGCTTTAACAAGCGGTTGTGCAATATGGGGTTGAGGGACAACCCGCCACCACCCATGGCCATGCCAACCTTGCGGTTATACTGGCCGAATCGCGGGATGTGTGCGCGGAATTGCGTCTGCCGTAGCAGGTTGCACTCTACCGCGCGCAACGCTTGACTCCCTACAAATTCTTTCATCTATTTCCTTGTCCCTATATATGCGACGGTCCTCCTCGAGCTCACCGCAATCGCAGCTCGCACTGTCCCTCAACCCCATGTTGAGGGACAGTGCGAGCTGCGAGTGCGGTGAGCTCGAGGAGGACCGTCACCACATACTGTGGGATTGTCCCCTATATAGGGACACACGCGAGGAGCTGCTGCAGGGAGTCGTGCTGGAGACGCACGGCCCCGCTTGGTACCCCGATCTCGTTGCGTCAGAGGCGAACTTCAAACGGCACAAGGCGTTCGCGTACAAGTGGCATGCGAGGAGGACAGCACCGAACAGTCCGGCGCCATAGGGTGCCCGTCGTTCGTGATAGTCGCAGCCCCAGAACGGGGAGAGTAGCGCATAGGGACAAGGATATAGATCAAAGAATTTGTAGGGAGTCAAGCGTTGCGCGCGGCAGAGTGCAACCTGCTACGGCAGACGCAGTTCCGCGCGCATCTCCCGCGATTCGGCCAATTATAACCGCAAGGTTGGCATGGCCATGGGTGGTGGTGGGTTGTTCATTGTTTTTCTAATATCATCAGGTCATTGGTTAGTTACTTTACAGACCGGCGTGTGGGCCTCTATGTAGGAGCTCAAACGTCGTAGATGCGCATTACCATGGGATGTCCTCAGGGATCAGTTTTGGGCCCAACGCTCTGGAACCTCCTGCTCAACGACCTCCTGCTGCTGCCGTGTCCTGAGGGGGTGCACGTAATAGCGTACGCAGACGATGTCACGATCGCAATCGAGGCTACGTCGCGTTCTGAGATCGAGCGCAAGGCCGCGTCCGTTTTGGAAGCTATGTCCGATTGGGGGACCCGCAACAATCTTGGTTTCTCCCCTGGAAAGTCTCTCACTATGACGTATAAGGGTGAGATTCAAGCGGTCTCCCGTAATTAAACTCGGCGGCGTCTCCATTGCGAAAGTCACACGGGCGACAGTGCTTGGTGTGACCCTCGACGAGGCTAGGTCCTATGTGCCGCATGCGAGATTGATTGGTTTACGAGCTGCCAATGGTTTTGACAAGGTTTCGTCATGGGGCATGAGATACCCCGCCCTAAGTGTGCTGTACGCAGGCATTTATGTGGCCACATTGACATACGCTGCGGCCGTATGCGACGCTCGTCGATTTTTGTGATGAGAAAGGTGTTGAGCACTCAGCGACCGGCGCTCATTTTACTCACGAAGGCTTACAGGTCGTGCAGCACGGCAGCGTTACCTGTGCTTGCCGGCGTGTTGTCTCTCGTGCAGGACGACTTGCGGAGGAGGGAATCCAACTGGCCCCCAGGGAGCGCCGGGAATTGAAGCGCACCATTAGAAGGGATGCCGTGGCCCTTTGGCAGGAGCGGTGGGATGCCAGCAGCGACGGACGTGAGCTGTACCAGTTCTTTCCCATCGTGGCGGTGAGGCGCTCACTCGGCTGGGTTGAACCTGATTACGTGATTTCCCAATGGACAGTTTGACACCATTCTCCAATAATTCGAAATCACAACTTTTCTAAAAATACACTTTATTCTGGTCTTAATAACTTAATTAATTTTAAATTACCTGTAAATTACGATTTTTGATCGCATTGTAATTGAGAAAAGTAGTTTATTTGAGTTGACAAAATAGTGACGTCACTTGCTTGTAGTGCCATACAAAATCTATGGGAGATTTTCGTTTTAACAGTTTTAAAAAGTACGTCAATTGATTGGTGGTGTCAACATGTCTATTGTTAACTGGGCACGGGTGCTTCAGGCGGCGCCTACACAGGATGACGCTGTGCGAGTCTGCACTATGCCCATGCGGCCAGGGAGTCGAAGAGAGCCGCGAACACGCACTTTGGGAATATAACCTCTGTGACGAAGCTCGACAGAAGAATGATGCTGGATGCGATACGGAGAGCCGAGCAAGGACCTGTTTATCACCAGAACCTCGCGAGTAGTCGCAGTAACTGGATCGCGCTGCGCGAGTTCGCGCACTCCTGGCACACAATCAGGCGAAGTTATGAGAAGAAGTGATGACATTTATCAACGATAGCAGCCCGCGAAGTACCGTATTTGTAGTGTCAAGCCCCAGAAGGGGGAGAATTGACTATGAGAAGGGACATGGATCAGATAAATTTGTAGGGAGTCAAGCAAAGCGCCCGGGGAAAAGAGCCCAGAGCACCCCCGCGCTCCCCCGAGATTCTGTTCGTACGCCGTGAGACAGGAAGAACCATGGGTGGTGGTGGGTTAGTTCTTTCTTAAACTAGTTTATCCGTTGGCAGCGGAACAAGGCCCAAGCTACCGGTGGTCAGGGTCGCAGGCTGAGGAACCTCCAGACAATGCGTGCCGTGCTGAGAACACATTTAGAGACAATAACTGAAAAGAACATTTTTTTATCCACAACGAGGAAGCTCTTGTAACGTAACGTAAACTTAGGGGATTGCAAACATTAGTTAGTCCTAAGAAAGTCAAAAACATGTAACGGATTCTCTGACTTACCACTTTAGTGGAGCGATTACAGAAAATAATGGCCTATTAAGTACCATGTTTTTTGTGTCATTATGAAAGTTCAGAAAACTGCGCAGTTTTTAAAATTATTTTGGACCTATGGAAGTTCTTTTTTTTTTCAAACTTTTAAGTTGAAAATTTTAGAATGTTCTGCTAAAAGCATATTTTTTATGTGTCTTGCAAAAATTTTGTATTTTGCATTAAAGATAGGAAGGTGATTATTTTTTTCAAACATCTGCAATTAATAGGGAATCTGAAAAGAAATCTGAGAAAAGTCAACCCAAAAAAAAGAAAAAATTTAAAGCCTACTAGGGCATACAATTTGAAAAAATCACAAAATTAACGATAACTTTTAAACTATGAAAAATCGTAGAACATACATAGGGGTGAAATCGATAGGTCTAGTCCTCACCTTTCACCTGCCTTCGGCTTGACATCTTACAAGAAACACCCTGTATGTAATTGATTTCCTGAATATATTAGTAATGAATAATGTACGATTGCAGAAACATCCTGATCGGCAAGGGCTACCAGGTGAAGATCAGCGACTTCGGCACCGATAACGAGGCGTACGCGGGCGACTACTACAAGGTGGCGGGGCGCATCCCGCTGCCGCTGCGCTGGGCCGCCTGGGAGGTGGCGCTGGCCGGCCGCCATTCCGCCAGCAGCGACGCCTGGGCCTTCGCCGTCACGCTGTACGAGGTGTACACGCTGTGCCGCGTGCGGCCCTACGCGCACCTGGCCGACGCCGGCGTGCTGGACAACCTGGCGCACCTGCAGGCCGACGACGGGCTGTTCGAGAGCCTGCCGCGCCCGCCCGCCTGCCCGCGCGAGCTCTACGACGCCATGCGGGCGTGCTGGCGCCGCGACGCCGCGCGCCGGCCGTCCTTCGCCGAGCTGCACGAGCTGCTGCGCCGCCTGGCCGCGTGACGCGCGCCCCGCACGACCCGCGCGCGCTCCGCCTGCTGCGGCCCCGCCCCGCGCGCGCCGCCCCCGCCCCGCGCCCGCAGCGCGCTCGCCGCCGTGTGCGACCGCTGTCGCCCGTCGCACCACCCCCACCAACACCCGCGACCGGCCCGCAGATAAGCGACGAACACTGTTGCCCGTGTAACACGATATCTTAACCGTTAAACCGCAGTCACGTGATTAAGTTTAGAACATATACCGCATAGAATAATTTTCTTGTATTCACGACTAAGTATTGGTGTCTATAATAATTGAAAAATCACTGGCAAATTGATAAGCGAGTCCCTTGTATTTGTTATTCGATCACTCCAGGAACAGTGTGTAGTCCTTATGAAACTGCGTTACGGACGTCGCCGGAATAATCACATTGTAAACGTACTCGAAATACCTCGGTTCCGTCGCCCTGAGCGGCTGGGCCGAACAATAAAAGTACTTAGTCATATGGGTATTGCAACACAAAAGCAATGTTAAACACTATCAACATATGATTGACCTTAATTTAGGATGTATATTCTTGAAAAAATGAAGTTTGAGTTATTTAAATTATTTATGTAAGAGGCTATGTCGTAGAGCAGGCTCGGCACGCACAAAGACACATTGGCCCGCAGAGGCTCGTGAACTCGGCGCGCTCGTGGTCGGTCTTCGCCCCGACATAAGTAACCAATTGTACGCCTAGTGTAACCTCTCTATTGTAAGTGTAAGTGTGGCTGTGCACCCGCAACCTTCATGTCTTCCGCTCCTACAAGTTAATTACTCACCGCCGCTGAACAATTCATCTGATACGGGTTGAAGATCGACGCCTCGCAATGCGGGCAATGTGTGTACGACATAACGGAGGGCTCCACGAGCAACCTGCTGAGACAAATTTTTCAGAAAATACTTAGAATAAAACCAAAAGAATCGATTAAACGGTTTCCATATTTCACAGGCTACTAAGATTTGTATAAGGTAGAAAAATGTTCCGTATCGCGTGAGGTCGCCCTCGGAGCCCCCCGCCCGCGTCCCGCGTCACCCACAGTTGATCGGATTAAGTTTTTGAATCTTGGCTTTTTGTTCATCTGTGATATTTTATTTCTGATTTTACATTCGTGAGTTACGTTTATGATTCGAAACGTCACAAAAAGACTGACTTTTTATACACAATTTTACACAATTCAGTTTGATATTTTTTAGAGTAGGTAATTGTGGAATGCGCGCGACGACAGCCGCGAGCGGCGCCCGCGCAGCGCCGGTAGCAGGCGCCTCCTGACGCGTGTAAATGTACGAACTACGAACGAAGCCGGATACCTCGTTTTCCCCTAAAATTAGAACCATTTTTACATCATAAATATACTCAAAAAATACTACTAAGTCATATAATGTTCAACGTTTTACGTTCGATACATAATTTCTTGGTTAGTATCTCTGAAGTAACACAATTTATATAAGTGTATAGCATATATATTTTGATCGGCATTTTCATTCAATGCATTCTGTAAATCCAAACTAAATAGAGATTGTACGAATTATACATGCTCGTATAATTATGAACTTTGTTGTGTTTATCAAAATGGTTTCTGAATCAACTAAACATTTTATGGATTTTTCAATAATAATTTCCCACCGATAATAGGTAATTCTCGTTAGTAAAAATTGGTTTCACGAACGAACAGGATACGTCGTTCCAGGCTTCATCAAGGGCACATTTACACTCTGTACTAAAGCTGTAAACCATAAACTAATAGATAGTCAATCATGTATTTTGTGTAATTTACAAGTTACCGCCTGCGTGAGCGCCCTCTGGCGAACTTACCGATCTTAATAGTCATTTATTTTCATAAACACATTTCATGAGTCTAATAAATTAAGGATTTATGAGTAAGTTGTTAGGGATAGTTGCGTCTGGATCGAATAAATTCTATTAGAAGTATATCGTAGTTGAGAAGTTATCTATTTTCCGCAGCGAGAGTGCGCACCGCGCCCCGGCGCCGGTACTTAACGCTGCCTCGGCGATCTGTTGCTGCAGCTGTCTGTCTCGTTCTGTCGTGCTCTTTAGAGATAGGCTATGTATTTCTGACCAAATTGAAAACTTGTATTTTGTAGCTTTATCTTAATTAACGTGTAGTTAATCGAAAATTTGTTATGTGTGCGCGTTGACGGAGCAACACTCTTCATGCGTAGACTGGCCGCTTCTTCGGCACGACTGCTGCTTTCCATGACCCGTAGAGCTACTTCTGTCCCAATCGGTGATTAGCGTACCCTCTACCTCGACGCGCCGCGACGACCGCGCGTCGGGCGGCGCGCTCGTGCGACGCCTCAGCACCGCACCGTTTCACTCCCCACAAAAGATTGAAATTCGACTGAGTTATGAATAAACATATCATACTAGAGCCCACTCTCGAGAGCAATGTGATTCCGATGATGCTGAGGCGTCGGACGAGTGACCCCTATTGTTTCAACGAATTAGTTCTTACTGTTTACAAAGCTTATATTTTGTAGGGCCCGCGGCGGAGTGCGCCCACGCGACAATACAGAACCAATGTATAGATATGTTTATGGCGGCGCCCCTCCGTCGCGGCCGTATTGACTCTTGAAGATTTATACTGTTATGTGTTGACGAATATATTTTTATCGCCGGGAGCGACGCGCGCCCGGGACAGTCGCGCACCAGGCCCAGGGCGCGCGCCGCCGCCGCTGTATTTATTTGTTCTGTAGGATACGTCTGGATGAAAGCTTGTAGCGTAGGCTCCGGTCGGGCGGAGCCGGTAATGTAAGCACAGTAGGTGTAAGCGCGCGTTTAGTTGCAAGAGGGCGCGCGCCCGCCGCCGCCGCCGGCCCGCCGCCCGCCGGCCCGCCGCCGCCGGCCCGCCGCCGGAGCGCAGCGGCCGCGCCCTGAGGAACCAATGTCCTAGGCTAATCGAATATACAGAGGTCTAATTACTTGTAAGTAGGCGAACCTGCGGGCTCCCCTTAGTGATAATATTAGGCACTAACGTAATGTACAATAAAACACCCTCTCTGCCTTAGTGATGCTATTCTTACCCTTAATGCTACGACGAAATCACTCTAGAAGGAAATTTATGATTGTAAATATGAATTCTTACGGCTGATGTATCATATATTGAGCACTATGGAAAACTTAAATTCCTAACAATGGTCCAAACTTCACTCGCTTTTTTATTTGTACTATACGATTATACAATTTCTATATAGAATTATAGATAAAGAATAATAATTAGTCTAGAGTTAAAACCTTATGCTTTAATTTTATTTTAATAGATGTAAATCATGTATTTGTCGAAATGCTTAATTTTCATAATCAAAGTTCTACGGAAAGGTCGATACCAAATGCAGTATTTTTATTTTGTACTCTACATCTTTGTACCCGAATAAAAGCAATAATCTATACGAACGAGTTTTATTTGCGTCCGCGTCCCTCGCAGCTGCGGCGCGCAAAACGACGACAGCGCTCTTTGTGCGCGTGTTTGTAAACAGGCTTATCGCTTCCTGCGCCGCCGATATAGGGCGCGCGCGCCGCGGCCCGGCATCAGTCGCCATGCGGACCGCGCTGCTGTGCTGCCTGCTGGGCCTGGGCGCCGCCGTCAAGGTGAAGGTGGTCATGCACTCCGAGCAGGACGAGTCGCGCGCCGACGACGACGAGCGCGCCGCGCCCACGCTGCTGCCCTTCCTCAAGGCGCGCGACGACGACGCCGCGCCCGCGCCCGCCGCCGCCGCCGCCCCCGCCGCCGCCGCCGCCGACCGCCCGCGCGCGCTGCACCCCAACGAGATGATCTTCCCGCTCATCTACCGCCAGAGCCACATCAACAGCATGTTCAAGTTCGGCGAGAACTGGTACACCTGGTCCACGGAGAAGCGCACGGACGGCTCCAAGGCCACCAACTACTACATCTGCTACGACGAGCCCAAGCGCTGCGACGAAATCGGATGGGTGAGCCACATACATGCTTCTTACGCCTTAAAACTAAATTCCAGTCGCTATAGTGCAAACATGCCACGTCGAACACCCGCCATTTTGAATTTCTAACAATGTGCCAAGTAGAGGCATTTTTCCAAGTAAAATCAACAAAGCAATGCAAACAATAACTGCTTGCGATTTAACTACAATTTTCTCTCATGTGATATAAAGTAGCAGCCTAATGTCAATTGAATTGAATAAGGGTGAACGGTATCTAATATAGTGTAATTTCAGGAACGGACCGACGCGCTGCCGAAGTGCGCGTTCCAGATCGACTCGCTGCTGCCCGAGGACCGCGCCTGCATCAACCCCTTCGGCGTGGAGCCGCGCGCCGCCGGCTCCTGCGACGGCGCCGAGCAGATGAAGGTGCGTCCCGCCCCGCCGGGCTCGTCGATGCCGGTTCACACACGTGCAGGCGAATGAATAACATTGATATCCTGCTGTACACAGGTGAGCGAGATGGTGCGCGCGTGCGGGCCGCGCATCCGCTCGCTGTGGCGCTTCCTGCGCGTGGGGCGCCGGCCCGCGGGCGTGGCCAAGCCCGCCGACGTCAACTCGCTCGTCTGCGAGGACGAGGAGGAGTGCTACCTCACCGTCGAGTACAGGGTCAGTATACCGTCCGCTCTTGTTACACCGATTCATAGCTCAACGTGAATTTATTTGTCCCTTACATATTCTTAACGTCTTGCCGTCGATTTCTTTCAAGTTTCCTACTTTTAGGCCCAGAACAGACGGTGAAACGCAACTGCAACGAAACTGCAACTTTTAGTTACTTTTGAGTTGTATGTAAGTTTCTGCCATAGCGTCCGTTGAGAGACCACACATGACGCGACCAGTTTGAAACTTTCAGTTTCATTAATTAGAATCATCAGAAAGTTGCAGTTTCGTTGCAGTTGCGTTTCACCGTCTGTTCTGGGCCTTACAGTACTTAATTAATACCGTAATTGTCTCATGAGACCGAATGAATTGCTTGCGCAGATCCACCACGACCGGATCACGTTCTCGCTGCACGAGCCGACGCGGGGGCAGACGTTCAAGAGCGCGCTGAAGCGCGAGGCGGAGCCGGAGCCCGAGCCGCGCAGCCCGGCGCCGCCGCGCGCGCCCCGCAAGAAGCCGCGCGACGAGGAGCCGCCGCGCAAGAAGTTCCGCGTGCGCGCGCGCCCCAAGGCGGCGGAGGGCAAGGGCGTGCTCAAGGAGCGCAACGACTCGGGCTACGCCGGCCGCCGCGCCGTCAAAAACAAAATCAAAATCAGGGAGGACGTCTCCGAGGATATGTCGGAATAGTCGCTGCTCTCGCGACCGCTGGAGTTTCTGACATGTACGTCGCGCTTCGACTGGTGCCATTAACTCGGATGCTCTCGAGCCGGAGTGTGGAACGGCTCAATTAATAATAAGTACAAAATGATGCAATTTTTGCTGATAAAATTATAAAAATATTTTATTTACACATCTTGTTTATTTACTTAGTATTAGAAATCTGTTTGTATAAATTCAGTTCACCAGTGGACGCCCTTGAATTAATCCGTCAGTTAACTAATCAAAAAATACTCGACACGTATTTTACTTTTTCAAAATAATAAAATTTTAAAAAGATAAAGCGCGCCAGCCTTAAAAGTCCTTGACGTCAAGGAGTGCAGTACTTTGTGACGTCACGCAGAACTTCAACGCACCATAACATCGTATAGGTGAAAGATTTTGAAACATCAATATCAGAATTATAATAACCCGGCATTGATAGCAGCGTCCTCCTGCAAATGACATTTCAGTGTTTTCCAACGTGGCAAAAATTGGAACCAGCGATCCGGAATTGACGGTGGCGCCCCCTGTCAGTATCGCGGGTGGGACGATTCTAATACGATTACGAACGATACGATTCTAAATCTAAATCTAAATTCAATTTATTTTACATCTTGTTTCAACTAACATAGTTTTTAAGTGCAATTGTTACTAACAAACTGAGTCATGGTTACTTGAATAAAGAATCATTTATTATTATTATTATTATTATTATAATTGTTTGATTAACAAATATTTTTCTTTGATGTAACATTCGCTCAAATGCTCATTACAAGTAAATGCTCAAGTTTATCAGCACCTTTAGGAAACTAAACCCAACCAACTTAATGTAAACCCCTTTGCTTGTACTTGTGTCTGTCTTGTTGGTTGTCCTCAATAAAAAAAATAAACTATAAGCCATTGTACAACTAAACATAATGACTAGACAGGAAGATAAAAATAAATAACGGACGTTAGTCGTGCGTTTGCAAGTTGTGTCTCTGTTGATCATTTTTATTCCAAAGCTATTTACATAAATCAAATCTGGTCAAAGTTGTCGTGGGAATAATATGGAAGTTCGATCGTTCTGTGTTTACCCGTGTCCTTGGTGGATCGACCATTACTGGCACTTGGGATTGTTCCCTGGAATACTAAATATAGTCTATATTCAATAAAAAATTACCACTTTGTCTTTTCAACGCCAGTCTCTTGACATCAATCTATTATTATATACCACAGGGTTTTGTGTGCAAGGGTACTTTTATTGTATTATTCTTACCACCTGTATTTACCACGTGACAAGCTAATGCATAAATAAAGTAGATAATAATTATATGGAATAAACGCCAAAATAAAATCCTTCAACCGAGTGAAATGTTAGTCAGGCAAATGTAACAAACGCACACACTAACGGGCCAATCCATGTTTGATTTCAGCTTTCAACAACATTATTCGATAAACAACCACACGTTTAGGCCTGTATTATCAAAAGACGCTTGTAACTCATAACCAAACCTAGACTTTAAACCTACGGGCACAGTTACGAGTGTTGAAACTTAGATGCTAAGACGGGCCCGAGTATCAAGAAGTCGAAAATGTTAGTTAATGGAAGATCGAAAATTTGGTTTCGGTCTTCACTAGGGTAAATAAAAAACAATTTATAAGTAAAAAGTATATACGATAATATATTCCGTCGTTTCGCTTAAAAAAACTATTTATGCTTCTTAAATTTCATTTTGGGTTGCTTGCGCGATTTTTCCGCGTCGTAAAACTTCCTGTAATTTACATTCTTGTAAATTACATTTTTGAGATTGGGAGGTTCGGCGGCCATCTTGACGCTCTTGGATTTGGCGGGCGCGCGCGCGGGCGCCGGCTGCTCCAGCGTCGGCCCGGGCGGCGCCGGCGCCGCCTCCTTGCGCTCCTGCGGACGGAAGACCAACTTAACACATTGTTCACTTACTGGCACCATGACTCAATCAAATTGCAACAAAATAGTGACGTTTTTTTATTGCGCTGATTCTGCTCCACACTGATGGCTGGAGCCTATGATGGATGGTTTGTTTACACATACAATGTTGTTTACACTATTTTGTTGCAATTTCTTACAAAACTTGCGCGCAGAAAGCAAATCTAGTATGTAAAATCATCAAACTTCTAATGCTCGTAACTCAGTTCAGACTGAATTTAGAGATATACATGTCGTAGTAAGTTTGGTTTATTACACTATTTTGTAATAAAAAAATAAGGTTTGTAGACGACCGCGCGAAAAAAAAGGCCACCTTCTATACAAAATCTGGCATTGCCATTTGTCTAACCTGAAATTTGAATAAGTTGGTTAATCAAATTTTACTGATTGAATATGTCGATTTTATGAGTTAAAGATGAGTCATTGCATGGAGTATAGATGGGTTTGTAGTTAAAAAGCTAGCTGAAGATAACTGTCCCCCGCGGGCAACCGCCGCACTGGGCTCACCTTGTCGGAGATCTTGCGCTTCCTCTGCGTCTTCTTGGCGTCGTCGGCGTCAGCGGCGGCGGGCGCGGGCGCGGGAGCGGGAGCGGGCGCGGGCGCGGGAGCGGGTGGCGTGGGCGCGCGCGACGCCTGCTTGAGCTTGTCCAGCACCTCGGACTTGATCAGCTCGTTGTCTTTGCTGATGGCCGCAATTTTTGCTTCCTTTTCTTTGAATTCTTTTAACTCCTCAATCTGTGAACATAATTTCGAGTACTTTAACACACAAATTAGATGGAAAACACATTTTAAATGTGAATGCTACGATTATTGCCAAGAACGCGGGAACGAATTCATAGTATATTTACCAAAGACGCTATAAAGCAACTTAAGCGAAACACGGAGTCGTACCTGTGCCAAAGAACGATATTTCCTATATCTATCGTATGGTGGAATGAAAAGTTTTGCATCAACGTTCAAATCCGACACCTGTAACAAACATACAGCTTAAAGAAACTGAAATATTCACACGCATGTTATGGTTTCTTGTGTTGCCAATACAATATTAAATACAGGGTGTCCCAGAATGGGTGAATCAAACTGCTAGAGGAGGTAGCTCTACTAATGTACTTATCCCTAAAAAAATAAGAACGTAATAAAAAAATAAATAGTACGGATTTTTTTTAAATAAAGTGCTCTAAATTAGAAATCTATATTTTCAAAAGTTTGTTTACAGATAAATGAAGCGATCATCTACAATTATTATTAGTAAGAAAAAAGTACAAATAAACTCCAAACGCAGCAATTATAGCCAGATATTTAGGCAAAGCTGATTTATTTTCACTTTTTCAAAAAAACATTTTTTTGCGTCCTTTGCGCTTAATTTTTTTCATATTTTTTAGGGACAGTACATTAGTAGAGCTACCTCCCCTAGCAGTTTGATTCACCCATTCTGGGACACCCTGTATATCATTAGATCAGTGGTTCTTAACCTTTAAGTTACGAGTGACCATTTTACCAAATTTCTGTCTTGTCAGGGACCACTTATATTTTTTTCAAAATCCTATGAAAGGGGAGGTCGATTTCTCGCCCACTGTGCGCCGTTTGCGTTGTGTTGACTCGACTCATCACGTCACGTCACTTGTTTATTACGATGTCTTCGCGGAGCACTTGGAAAGCTTCCAGGGACCACCAGTGGTCCGCGGACCACCGGTTAAGAACCACTGCATTAGATGAAGCAACTTGGGCACTCACCACGGCGTGCACGGGGGCGAAGGCCGGGATATCGGGGGCGCAGGCCGGCGCCGCCAGCAGCTGCTCCGCGCGCTCCAGGTTGATCGGCTTCTCCTGGCTGCAACCACACGAGGCTCTGAGCGACGAGTACGTCGTATGCTTTGTGATATTTATGGCCCTTTTCACCATTAATCCCTAATTTTTAAGTGACCCCCTATGAAAACAAAATTCCTGTTATGTGTTACCGTAGGGGTCACTTAAAAATTAGGGATTGATGGTGAAAATGGGCGAAATTAGGTGGGTAAACTATTTTTTAACATAGAGTTGATGAGCACATTATTTATACCGAAACTGCTAATGCTGGTAAACAACCAAGGATAAATGCTAAGGTGCGTTTTGTGATGGACGTGTTGGTCAAGCATCAACATTCATTTAACTATACAGGGTGGAAACCTCAAGTGATTACACTCGATTATTTCTAAACTATACAAGATATCGAAAAACTGGTTACTGATCCTGAAAGTGCTTCACGAGCTCTTTCAAATGGTACCAATAAATAGGTTACAGAATAAACTGGAACTATCTGAAAATTCAATGTTTCCAGCCTCCATACATTTGTCCAATTCTTGCAAGTGAAAATCAAATAACAGTGGTGAATGTGTGGTTACCCGTGGTCGGGCAGGTGCGCGAGGTCGTGCACGAGGTGCGCGCGCGCCGGCGCCTCCGCCCCGCCCGCCCCGCGCGGCCCCGCCAGCACCTGCGGCTCCGGCGGCAACTCGCGGCACTGCAACCAGAATACTACTTACTATATCAGGAATTCAACTCCGCTACTACCATTATTAGAGGTCAACAATTTGACACCCTTCCCCAATAATTCGAAATCACAACTTTTCTAAAAAGACACTTCATTCTGGTCTTAAAAACTTAATTGATTTTAAATTATGTACCTGTAAATTACGATTTTTGGCCGCATTGTAATAAAAAAAAACTGACGTCACTTGCTTGTAATTCCATATAAAATCTTTGGAGAGTTTCGTTTTGACAGTTTTAAAAAGTACGTCAATGAAAAATCCGCAGGATGGCAATATGTAGACGCGAGGTCCAAATGCTGCATGATTGGTTATTTTTGACATGACATTGACAGATATGTCAAAATCCACCAATCACGCAGCATTTGGACCTCGCGTCTACGTATTGCCATCTGGCGGATTTTTCAATCGTGAAAACCCTCATTGATTGGTGGTGTCAACATGTCTTTTGTTATTCAGAGTTAAATTCCAGTTTATCATGGGATATTAATTACATCCTACTTGCAATTACTAATACGATACATTACAATAAATAAATGAATTTATAAATTATGTGAGGTGATTTTCACAATACCTACAGCTTCCAGCGTTCAATCTGCACTTATGTTCACAATACGAAACAAAAAAAATTAAAAAGTAAAAAAAAAAATGTACATCTATTTTTAGTTTAAGCGTTCATTTGTCTTGGTTTCAGTGAATCAAAATCTCCGCCTGTTTTATTTAACAGGCGAAAAGTATAACAAAAGTAATCAAGTAGGAACTTTAACTGCTACAGCCGTATTAGAATGTCGGATCACGTACCTAATAACATAGTACGCCACTCTTGTAGCGGAGTTTTGGGCTGACACTGTATAAGTTTGTTGTCGTCAAGAAGAAGATAACAATAGTTACAATTCGATTGTAATTTGAACTGTTTTACAAATATACAGGGTGTTGATTTCAATACTCGCCATATTTATTTAGGTGATCTATGACTTATATAAACGTATTATTCACCAAAAATAAAAAAAAATACAAACGAAAGTGAAATTTTTAGCGAATATTTTCCGTGCGACATCAACTGTACTGTGGCTCGCAATAATACAATATGTTTACACTGCGGCACCATCGAGCTACGCGGATTGCTCGCTTATCATGTCGGATAGCCTATAGAAGGTATCCACGTAAAGTAGGTAGTGTAAATAGGTATTTTTCTTTGATTAACTAAAGTTAAAGTACATTTTAAATTTTTTTCGAAGTAAATTTTTTGATCAGTATAAGCTACTTAATCAACTCTCAAAATATGGCGAGGATTGAAATCAACACCCTGTATTATGTAGTACTATCCGTTCGCTTTAAGTTTGCCGCTGGCGATATGGCGTCACACGACGGGAAACGTCTATAACTACCTATAACAATATATATTTCAAGTATTTTTTATTTATTATCTATATACAGGGTGTTTCTCGTAAGGTGTCAAGCCGAAGGCAGGTGATAGGTGAAGACTAGACCTATTGATTTCACCCCCATGTATGTTCTACGATTTTTCGTAGTTTAGAAGTTATCGTTAATTTTGTGATTTTTTCAAATTTTATGACCTAGTAGGCTTTCAATTTTTTTATCTTTTTTTTGGGTTAACTTGTGGCGGCCATCCGCCACATTCCTAACTTGGACCACCGCCTTAGATTTCGGAGCGATCCGCTCCCGCCTATGAATTGGACCAGCCCCGACCTGTCTGAACGTGACCGAATGGTTGGCGCATGCGTGCTGCGGCCGTCACAATATGTCTGCGTCACTCGCACACCCGTGAAGACGTATGCTGCCGTCTCGCTTCAACGCCGGTCACCGATCTCCGCTCACTCATCGCCGTTGAAGAGATTTGAAATATGTCGTCGTGACACTTCTTCCGCGATCGCTTTGCTCTTAAAGATTTAAATAATTTTATCGCTATTGTATCCTAATCAATCCCTTGCTATTCCTGTTGCTAAATATAATTTCCAATCCGCTAATAACATTCTTCCTTCCACCGTGTTCTTCCTACCTTTATTTCTTGACTCGAACTGCCTAACAGTAATCTTAACGATTAAGAATCGGAATAGGATTCCGAGTAAAACATATGGTGGGTTGTTGGCAAATAACCCCCATAAANATCCCCATAGGTTTCAAATTTACTAAAATGCGACGTTGCCAAACGAGCGCTACGGATGCGGGTAAGCTAAGCAATACTCAATCCTAAACGCTTTACATAGAGCTTGGTTTGCTAGGGCAAACATCTACAGTGGTGCGCCGACGCTGCTTAGACCCGAAATATGAATGAATGGGGGCGTAGCTTAATCGAGCGTGTGTGTGCAAACAATTTAGGCCCTTAAGGTGTCAAGGCGTCCGAGTCCCCGATAGTACCATCCTAGACTGCATCCCACTTAACATCAGGTGCGATTGTGGTCAAATACCTGCCTTATTATGCATAAAAAAAAACTAAGCATCATTGATATTTTTGTGGTTATATTTGGTATAGGAACCCTAAAACTCCACCGAACTTCTAATATCCAGGACATAAACAACATCCTCAATCGCCATGTCCTTCCATCCGAGCAGTTATCTGCCACATAAAATTTGAACTGACTGTGTAAAAACCGTAGTTAATGCAACTTGAACTTTGGCGGGCCATGTTAAGGTTCATTTTGCGACGGGGGTGGGCGACCTACTGATATTTGAGTGACCTAGATAAGGACCTTTAAGTAGGGATGTGGTATTCATGAGTAATCGATTGATGAATCGATGTTTTATTTATCGATACCCATTGAACACATTTGCCTTTCCTTTTCAATCAAAAGATGTCCACTGTTGGACAAAGGCCTCCCCCAAGAATTTCCACAACGAGCAGTCCTACGCCAGACGCTTCTCACAACTTTCATCAAGTCATCAGTGTACCGAGTGGGAAGCATGACTGACAGCCTATAAATACGTCTTCTAATCCATGGTCACCACTCGAGAACTTTTTTTCTGCCTCGGCTATTAGTTCTACGACATTTACCCCACCTACTGACACTTGGTTGTCAAATTTATGGATTAATGTCGGTTACTGTAGGAATCTTATCATTTCTGATTTGAAGCATAGAACGTAGCATCGCCTTTTACCACACTTTTACTCTGAAGCGTTCTTTGAATCGATTTTTTTTTTATTTGAAATAGAGCGATTTATCGAATAATGAGTCTTTTTTAATGATTGTCAAGCATAGCACACGGTATCGCCTTTTGAGTAGTCTCAAGACATATCTTGGTTAATCGATTTACTTGTTTCGATTATTTTAATCGATTGTTTATGCTTACACATCTCTACTTTATTGAAGGAAAATTGTTGGTTGAAGAAAATGAACGGAGTAGGAAATGTTGATGTCCAAAGGACTTAATATCTCAAGGAACTTGATCCTTTGCTTTTTGAACAACAAACAACCGGAGGGTCTTTTGAAGGCTTATTAGTATTATGGCAGTGTCTTGAGTGAGAGGTCTCGGATTCGGTGCGTGGGAGAGTCAATTTAGAACGATGAAATGAGCCGATTAAGACTATAGACATACTATAATAAGTATAGGTACTTTAGATATAAGTATTATACTTATCTATACTGACTGACTGACTGACTGACATAGTGATCTATCAACGCACAGCCCAAACCACTGGACGGATCGGGCTGAAATTTGGCATGCGGGTAGATGTTATGACGTAGGCATCCTATAAGAAAGGATTTTACGAAACTCCACCCCTAAGGGGGTAAAACGGGATCCACGCGTATGAAGTCGCGGGCGGCCGCTAGTATGTACAATATAAGACTTTTCTTCATGATGTAATGCTCTTACATTTTTTTCGACTAAGCACCTATCTCGGTTTCGCGCGCGGGTGCTATGTAGGTATATGTATTATACTTCTTGTTGAGAACGTTCTTGTTGCTTGTTCCACGGAGGTCGGAGACATCCCGTTTTTTGCAGGAACTGTTTTTTGTAAGATCCCTTTTAGTAGTGTATGGTTCACACGAACATCCCGTTTGCAGGGACACTGCAAAAAACCGTTCGAATTTGTAATTCGAATGACAGTGCTGCATTACTGGTTCCCGCAAAACTGGATTGCCGAACAAACCCTAATAAAACAAACCCTGAAAAATCGTCCTATTTATCTTATAATAATATCTGTCTATATTTATAAAAGCGAAAGTTCACTGACTGACTGACTCACTCACTCATCACGAAATCTCAGAAACTACAAGTGCTAGGAGTCTCAAAAAAAACGTAGGTGCTCACTAAGACGGGATTTTACAAAATTCAACTCCTAAAGGGGTAAAACGGGATCCACGCGTACGAAGTCGCGGGCGGCTGCTAGCTACCAACCGATCAACATGGAAATCATTGGGGGAGGCCTACACAGTATAATATGATTTATCTACTGTGAGGCCTATGTTCAGCAGTGGACGTCCTATGGCTGAAATGATGATGATGCTGCTAACTTTAATGTACTGTACGTCTGTTTTTCCTTCATTGCTTTAATTAGGCTTGATTACACAAACGGGAAGGATTAAATAATTTCGCAAGAGAAATTAAGGGTGAAGCTAATTTTGTACACAAAGTGTTGTAAAAGACTTGAGCTCTTTATTCTTTAGAGATTATCTCGAGGGTCATGAGTCTTTTGAGTCTTCTAATTTTAATTGTCAATTCGTCACGAAGAAGGAAGACTTGAGTTCTTCAGTCTTATATTAAAGACTATCTCGCGAGTCAGCTCCTTTGAGTCTTCTAATGTTGATTGTCAATTCGTCACGAAAAAAGCATGATAAATTCGTCACACTTTTTAATTTTGTATCAAATTATTTTGGAGTATTGTACAATAAACTCACTTGATTATGACGAATTTACTTTCAATCAATGGGTCAATGGGCGACGGTAATCACTTACCATCAGGTGATCCGTCTGCTCGTTTGCCTCACGTCACATAAAAAAGTGTATGGAATGTACAAAAGTGTGACGAATCGAAAGTCCAAGTCCGCAGCATAAAATTATTTATTTATCTTGATTTCAGCTAATGCTTTCTTTTGAAAAGACTCAGTCACGAATTTCCCTAGACATGATTCAAGTATTTTTTAAGACTCAAAGACTTGAGCGGGTCTCGGACTTCGGATCTTTAAAAACAACTTAAAATACCTCAGTTTTTATGCAGCTACAACAGGCAGGTATTTGACTGCAATTACACCTACCTAATGTTTAACCGATCTGGTGAAGGTCGTGGGAGGTGCCTGGATGCGAGCGGTGCAGGACCAGTCTTTGTGGAAATCCTTGGGGGAGGCCTTTGTCCAGCAGTGGACGTCTTTCGGCTGAAACGACGACGTTAACGACACCTAATGTTAAATGAGACGCACGCAGTCTTGGGTAGTACACTATAACTTTTTAGTGCTTAATCTGTTTGTGGTGGTACACGCCTGCCCAGTGAATGCCTATTCAATTTCACCTTCAAGAAAAAAGTCCCTTAACACTTAAGGGCTCAAGTTTTTCACAACACTATGTAAGGAGGTACACAGCATTTCTCTTTGGAACTGCTTAATAATTCACTGGATGTTAACAACATCAGATTATTAAATAATGCTTGATGGGTAAACCCTTGATAATAAACTTTTAGGGATTTATGTAACGAAAAAGATTCGAGCAAGGCAAGACTATTTGAGTTTGTAATCGGTTAGATTTAATTATGTATTTAATATTTAAGTGTCCAAAAACATATGGCCAGTATACGGTGAATTTTAAAGGGTCGTGTCTCTAGCAGTTGAAACTAAAATAAATAATAATACCAATGAA